TCTGGCCCGCCATTTTTACGTTTATATTTGACATCATAAGGATTGTAAGATATTAGATAAAGTCAACTACTTTGAGAATCAGGAAGGCGAGAAACACATTCATCAGCCTGAAATCAATCTGGAAATTTTCGTCACTCAGCATCACCAACAAAATTCGGATTTTCAATACAAATGTAAAGTCAGTTCTTCTATACGGATCAGAAACTTGGCGGGTCACAAAGAGTATTTCCAAAAGGCTGCAGACCTTTATTAACAACTGTCTTCGCTCAATACTGAAGATCAGATGGCCGGAAAGAATCACCAACAAGGAATTATGGGAACAAACAAAGCAAGAACCAATCGCCCAACAAATATGCAGGAGAAAGTGGAGATGGCTCGGACACTCGCTGAGGAGACCGCTGGGTGACATCGCGCGCCAAGCCCTCGAGTGGAACCCGAAAGGGAAGCGGCGTGTGGGACGTCAGTGCAAGGTTGACATGGAGGAGATCGTGTGAAGAGGGGTTGAAAGAATATGGATTAACAAAAATGCGGGCGAAAAGCATAGCAGAAGTCAGAAGGAAATGGGAACGTGCAGTTGAAGCCCTATGTTCCACTAGGAACCCAAGGGAGCAAAAATAATAATAATAATTTTGAGAAACATACTTTATTTCTAAGTGAATTTGTGGACATGAATACCACTTTTATACCTGCCCGGTTGGAAATGCTGCATTTGACTCTGAAGATTCTCTCTTTGTATTCAAGAACTAATGATGCCTTAAATTACCTATTGTTGGTGTTGTCATCTTTCTATGTGTATGCCTTCCATACACAGAGTCCTTATTGTTATCAACTTTATTCCCACAACCGCCTACATATTTCATGATTAATTTGTCAAGGTAATTATTAAGTGTCAAAGCTTCTCTTAAATATCTTACTTCCTGTCTTGGATTCTCTTTCGTACTATCGAGTCTTTTCGTCCAATGACTTAAGCATTCCACTTATCCTACGTTTACTGACATCGGCTGGGCTGAACCGAAATCCAACATATCAGTCTGAATTTATAGATTTTCTAAAAACACATTGGTGCTTAACTTTCCATCTTTTATTCCTTTTCCCGGTGTAATCGAACATTGGAAGCTCCCCTATGTGACTTTCCAACTCACAAGTGGACTGAATTGTACCTACAGTTGAGTTGATGTGTTTGACAGATGTTCAGACAGACATATGGAGCGTCCCGATGCCCTGCTCACGCAAAGTAGGAAGAAAGAATAAGTACTATAAAGATCAAGTTTCAACATTGTGTAGTTGCACGGTCGATGTCATGATTAGGAACCATAACAAATTGCGTTTATATCTTAGTCATTCAACAAATGTTACTGTTTCATCTTGTGCGATATATTCAATAAACAAATTAATAAAGGTTAATTAAAACGTCCATCTTAAATCATCCACTTACAAGGGGTTTTATTTTAACTGTGCTGAAATCTCATTGAGACAAGAGATCATTTTTATGTTTTAAGACATTATTTATCTAATATGACTGTTGTAATTCGGTATTGTTTGTCGGGGGTTTAATGATGGAAAGAATGTTTATTTGTCGCGTGGGTGGTCCGAATTCGATTACCGGATGACGCACTTAAAAACCCTGTTCCAGTCTACTGGAGGTGGTCCTAAGCCTGTTAAAGAAGGGAGGTTCAGTGACAGGCTAGATATCTCATCCTCTTGAAGCTTATAACTACCGTTACTGAAACTTCAAATCATGAAGCCCTATGTTCTCCTAGAAAGACAAAAAGCAAAAATTAAAAGTAATATCGCATTATTTATTCACTTATGTCCATCCTGTTCGATAATAATGTTTACAATCTAAGGCAGTTTTAAATCACTCTAGACCCTCCTCTCCTGTTCTGTTTCAATCTCGTTCTTTAGCTTTCGTATCATCCCATCTTTTGTTCATTGTTTTTTTTCTCTTTATTCGATGATGGTGTGTGTTGCATAACTTGACCAAAGTGAATTGAATCAATTCTTTGTAATACTCTCCGACTTTCTCCCTTCCATTTGTGTTTTTGTTTTTCGCTCCTCTGAGTTCTTAACAGTAGAATATATAGGACTTTAGGCTTGGAATCCTTAAGTGCCAGGATCTGATGTGTTGTTATTTTTATACAATGGGGGTCACCAGTCTCATATAATCAACCTTTCCACTCTCTCCTCTGGTCTTATTGTTGACTAGCAAACTAGATGGTGAGGTTTACTCGTATGTTGTTGATCGCTGACTGAACTCTGGACAAAATTCATGCTTAACGAGCATTTTCTACCACTGAACCACTGCCAATGCCTATCTTTTACTCACAGATGAATACTCATCAAAGTCACTTAAGCTTGCTTTGAATTCACACTGTTCGCTTGTATCTTGACCATGCTTTTATTTCACTCTTTTATTCGTTTAAATCTCTTGTCTTGTCTTGTCTTATCAGTTACTTATCTCTTAATAGTTTTTTTGTTCTGTTATGTTCTCTTGTTTCTTGTTGTTGTTGTTGTTGTTGTGATAAACGTGTTATAACGACAGATGTGAAGTGATTTACTGTGATAAGCCCTTTGCCAGATTATAAAAAAATGAATTTATATATGAATATATGTAAAGAATCATAAAAGATGAATTATTGGTTAAAAAGGTTTTCTTCTTGCTCCCCTGTTCTTCTACTTTTTCTTCGTCTTCAAATGAAGGAACACTTAAAGATGAGATAATCGAATTTAAAAAAAATTGTTTGTCTTCAAGTTTGATCCCTAACTGACTGTTATCAGTAGGAGAATCATTGAAAACTAGTAGGGATTACGGGACAGCTGTTTCCATCATCCTAGTTTCACACTACTCAGCTTTGATGATATTAGCTGGTTGGAGACCTTGGACCTAGGTTTCTTGCTAGTTGCCGTTCACTAGTCAGCAAGGCTTATCTACAACCTTGAAGGAACTCATATCCCTGCTTCTGAGGTTCGAACCCGCGTCACCAAGTGCTGCAGTCGGAGACGTTAACAATGAGCTTTTCGGGCTGTCTCGCGATCGGCCTCCTGTAGGACTATAGTGGATATTTTGATTGAACACTAGTTACTAGTGTTTAATCAAAACTTCTCAGCTTTACATACCCATCACCACGCGGATACCGATTGAACCCAAGACCTTTAGGCTACGTGAAGAGCCCGTTGATCCGTTGATGACCACCGGATCGACAGGCCATTCGATTCTGTTATATTGACTGAATAAATGTTGCACACTGACGCGGTAACCTAAACTTCTTGAGTTGGAAACACGGTGGGGTTTTGGGTTTTCCATGATTCTCCTACTGAGTTCATTTTGTGGTCTTTCTTGAAACTGATCAAGTCCCTTGCAAAGCAACGCATAAAAATTGATTTCATCTACAGAACTGATGAAAAACCAGTAAGCACTGGAGACACCTGTTTTGTTCGTAGTTTACGACTTTTTAGCAGTGTGTATACCAATGAACTTTGAAAATGGTTGAACAGAGATAATCTATAGGTTAACTACTACTACATATACTATTTAGCTAGTGTAGGTGGAGGAATTCAATGACCCGTTCTACTCTGATATGTATTGGACACTACCCCGTCAGGATGCCTTATTTTAATTTCAGGATAACTGTTCAGTTCTGCTTTGGTTTGTATGGAGCTTTAACTGATGTCCGGTTGTGAGAAAATTGACATTGAAATGAATCAGAGATTTTCAAGTATTGGTTTATGTGGGGATTTAGTTTGATTGGTTGGAGAATTTCATCATGATTTGAAATCAGTTAGAGAACCATTGGAAAACCTGCAGGGAGTACTGGACAGCTGTTTCGTCCCGCCTAGTTTGGAACTATTCAGTAGTACGCACTCACCAGGGTTAAAACAGAGGACCTTCTGGTTACAAGACGAACTCGTAGACCGTTAAGCTACTCATTGAAGAAGACATTGCGAAGTGGTCGCGCTATATCATGGATTGACAGAAGTAGGAATTCATGGGCTAGTCGTTGAATCGGGTCCCAGTGGCTTGATGGTCTATTAGCTCGCGTTGTAACCATGTGGTGCTAGGTTTTAAAACACTTTGGAGAGTCCCAAACTAGGACAAAACAGCTGTCGAGTACTCCATGCTGGTTTTCCAATAGTTCTCTAACCGATGGATGTCAGCTCATGATGAAATCCTCTAACCAATCAAAAAATCAGGATTCTTATTGATTGTAGTAATAACAACAGTCATTATGAAGCTCATGAATCCTGATTCACATTTCCATTTAACGTCGTTTTATCAAGAGGTGGAGCATGCACTGGGTTTTACCACTTTTTGTTTTGTTGTGTATGTGAGTAGAACGTAGATAGATAATAATGAAATGGTAGGATATTTGGTGGGATGAAGGCATCAATTACACATTAGCCTTGTGCGTTGTGCTTATTAGCGATTTGTTTATAGTTTACCATCTACTTACTATCTTCATGTGATTAGCACACCTTGTAGGGTGTTGAAATTCCACTGTAGCGAAATCTTCTATCTTTGTTGACGTATCGGCTCCGAAATATAATCGATCAATGAGAAACACAAAATTAAAACAAATAATAATTGAAACTCATAGCACATGAGGTACCTGTCATATCTGGAAAGGCCTAGGGAATAACGCTTCGGCGTTTTATTCGGTGGGTACTAGATTCGAATCCTGATGGAAACGCCCTTTATCACTCACTAGGAATGTAAGTACTACTGGCTGACGAGTCCTGCCTGGGTTGGACGAAGTCCACATTCTGGATTTTACACTGCTAATCGCTATGCACCGAATGGTACTCCGTATTTTTTAACACATTCAAGCCTGAATTATCTGAATAATCTAATGAGGTTATTTTGTTCCCTTCTGCATATTTTCAAATGTCATATTGTTTAAATCAAATATCACGTTTTTGAGTATTGATTACATTATATAATGAAAGATGGCTGATTTCTTTGATTATTTCTCTTTGTGTTTTCCCTTTTGGCCTGAAAACAGTGAATCGACTGAGTCTATCAGAAGTGTTCAGCGAAATGCCGAAGACAGAAAGGTGAGTTGTTAACTAAGAATTAAAAAACAAATACTGGTCTTTTGATGTCACTTACTCTTACAGTCGGTGGCATAGCGGTTAGGACGCTCACCGACTATGCACATGGTTCGGTGTTCGATCCCTGGCCACAGACGCACTCCTTCACCTCGCTAAAGAGGAAAGGTTGGGCATGAGGCTAGCAATCCCATCCTGTAAAATTAAACACTGCTACAGAAACTTCAAGCCACTAGCTTGAAGCCCTATGTTCCACCGGGGAACGTGCAGGAAAAAAAACTCTCACAGTCATAAATAAGAGATAGAGGGAACTACTGCACAGCACAGCACATATGTCCTTTGATGGGTATCTGGATATTCTACGTATACGCCAAAGATGACGTAATTTGACAAGTATCACATGAGCTTTTTGTATCTGTGTTGAGATTTTGTCAGTGGTTAGTATGTTGGGGGCCGACGCAAAACTCTCAAACAGTCGAAGTGGTCAACACGCTTTGCCACTTAACATCTTATCTTTAAGCTTGCAGCTGGTTCAAATCAGTCCTGTAGAGCATCCTCTTACATTTGAGTGGAACGAATCACGTGAAGGTTTCTGTTCAAGGTGTTGATAAGACTGTATTTTGTGTCAGCGTCTTCACCCAGAAGTTAAGTCCACTAAGGTTATATTGCGATACATTTGAGGTTCCATTGTTTTGTTGTACATATGTATATATATATATTTCTTGTTTTCTGTTTCTAGCCTTCTGGAACACCATCAGATATATTGTCGACCTCGAATAATGACACTATAACTAGATCGTCTATTTCATCGAAACGATCAACTGGTGATACTCTACAACTGATATCACGTTTATCCCAGTCATTCTTGATGATCAACGGAAATGATGCCAATAGGAAAAGAAGTACACCGGCTAGTTTTACAACTGCTGATGGTGACAGTGATAAATTAAACTGGGATGCATCTTTGACCTTATTGTTTGGTGATTTAATGAAATCAAGTTAGTTGGAAATGCCTGCTTTTTTTCCTTCGTCATTAAGCATCATTTTCTGTTATTTCTTTTTGTAATGGTTGTGATATATGATTCCGGCAACTTTTTTAATTTTTCATTCTCTTGCGTTCCATCTGAAACATAGGATTTAAAGCTTGAGGTTCGAAGTCGTGGTGTTGATTTTACGGGTGGGATTGTTAGACTAACTCCCAACCTTTCCCTCTTTGCCAGGCCTACTACGGGCTAAGTAAGATTTAGAAGTGCGTCAGCCGGAAATCAATCTCAGGGAACCACCGACGCAAAGCAGGTTAGTACTGGATATCTATTTTGTTCTAGTCTGAAGCTATTCAGCGGTGCGCACTCATGACCATGGCCATCCCAGTGGCCTTTGAGCCAATGGAGCGATAACAATAACGTCAGTTAAGGCTCGTTAGTTTCTCTGGGTGTGATATTGATTGATATGATCGGCAATTATAATAACGCTACAACTAGAGTTCGATCCTGGTTTCCTGTCACGTCTTACCTTGAGAACTCGTGCAATCAGATAAAGTAGACAAATAGGTCCGAGCCGGTGAGAACAATCTACTTTTATTTTACAAAAATATAATTATATACAAATATCACTGAGCCTCGTAAAGTTGAGCCAATAAATAAGTGGTTTAATTAGTCGCATAAGTTTGGGATTGAAAGTTGTTCAATTGTATTCTTCCTCTGCCAGATTGTTTAATTTGTTCAGACTGATAATTTAGCTGGTTTTGCCTTATTTTTAACTAGTATGTCTTAATGCAATCAGTTCTACAAAGCTACGATCTCACTGTAAACACCAAGGAATTCACTTAATAGCTGTCCACATAAATGACTGGCATGCAACATTTTATGATAAACATGATAACTTGGCAAACATTTGGTTATCCCTGCGAAAATATGATTTGGTTTGACACTTTGTTTTGTCAGTATTACTGTAGAAATCCGAAGTGTACTACGAGTTTGAGTTCAGCCACGACTTGGATTTTTTCTAATATCTTTTTCAGTTGTCACCTGACTATATCAGTATCCATTCAATGTAAGGTGGTTATCTTAAACAGTTTCAGTCCGATTGGTTAGTAAATAAAAGAGATGAGAGCTCGTGTTATTGAAAATTATCTGATAGTATGTGTACTGGTCTTTCGAGTAAGAATAACCAGTGTCTAGTTTGCATGGTTCTATCAGTCGTCAATCTAGGAGACTTTTCATCATGGTGCACTGTTTGAATTCGTATTAGATGATTAGAAACAGTCGGTAAGATTTCCTGCTTCCTGGTACTCATCGGCAAGCCATATCTATAACTTTGAAGCAACTAAATATCCTGTCTTTCAATCTCAGCCACGTCGCTCAGCGCTGCAGTGTCAACGCCCAACTTTGCCTGATATTTCCCCGGTTTAGTACTGGCTAGTAAACTAGACAAGTTTTGGCTTCCGCGTTGGGAGTTGAACCTGGACCGCTTGAGCGAAAAACTGAAATGCTAACAGCTGAGGAGATGGTTAGTTGTGGCGTCATTGTCTTCAGTAGGATGTGGATGGGGGGCGAATGATGGGTTGTGTGAGCTCATCAGTTGTTTACGACTGACTGGTCTCAACATAGGACTTTACTTAGAAGTTCACTGCAATCTGTGAATGTTCGGCATGCGATTTGCTCCCGTCAAATGTAAGATGATGTGATGCTACAGGACTGGACTACATTGACTCACTGCTAGCTTAAAGATAGGAAGTGAAGTAGTTTGTAATGCGTGTTGACCACTTCACTTATTTGGGAAGCTGCATCAGCTCAAATGCCAGTGGGTTGATCGTTGGCGAAATTTCAACATGGATACATAAGCCTCTTGCGGCATTCGCCTGCCAACATACGCCATCTCTGACTTAGTAGACATGATATCCAGCTGACTGTCAACCAATGAACGTGTACGCCGCTCATCAGTTCTTTGTCTTCTTATATAGCTGGCTGTGAGTGAAACATGGCCATTGAGAATAGAAGACGTAAAAAGCCAGGTTAGCTGTCTTCGATCATAGGCGTCTGCGTTATATCTTCCGTGTTAGGTGATAGGTATAATAGAGTGAGCAATCCTGAGATTAGGTTTCGTCCGAGTGCTAGGTAAGAAGGGGGGGAATCAATCGACGAGGTTGTGAAGTTACACCTATTCAGGTGGTTAGGACATATTTTAAGAATGTATCCCTAGACAGAGCCTTCATCGATGGGCGATGTTAGCTGACATACGATTTATCAGGCTGGAAAAGAGAGAGCTGGTGTTGTTCAAACTAAAACATCACATCAGTTCATAAAAGCTGTAGCAGTTAGTTTGAAGCAGCCTAATTGGTTGGGGTCCTCGGGATAGTTAAAACCAATGACGGCTGGAGGCAATTGATGATATGGCTCAAAATCAGTGTCAGTGACGCAGATGCATCCGCTCCTTGTAACTTATAATATCCAATAAAACTGTATTGTTCTTCGTTATTACTATTCTTTTTGTCTCCAATCTCTGTTTTGAATTTCTCTTTACTCTCTTCTGTCGCCTTGTGTGCTACATGGAGGGAAAGTGGCACCTCGAACTTTTGCACATGAGTGCAATGTTCCACTTTGAAACCAGTCATCACAAATTCAATATTTATTATAGTGTTATGATACTTCACCTAAGCAGTCGTACTGTCTCCTTATTGGAACGCTATCACATGTTGTATCCTAGCTGCCTTTTCATTTTGCTCTAACCTGTTTTTTCTTCTTTAGTAGGAGTAGAAGTAGTAGCACGTTTTAACATAAGCTATTGTATCTGTTTTTATTTTTTTCATCAATGTGTATATTATTTCATGTCTTCTCAGTGTCATGTTAAAGTACAACTAATAATAATAATATTCATGTTTTGTTCGCGGTTGGAATAATCTTATGCATGCTCAGAGGTGTTTTCTCTGCCTTTTTTGGCTTCATATTTGATGCCAATATAAATAATTCAATAACAACCTGTCATACGATATATATATATATATATATATATATATATATATATATATATAATGAGATTTTGGAGTTTGTAAGGAGCTTGGACAGATTATGGAAGCTATGAAAATCAAGGCGTACTGAAGACAGGTATTTCATCCTTGTCTGTAACTCTTAAGCGGAATATATATCTCTAGCTCACAGTTGGCTATTTCAATGAAATCTCGGATATGTAAATCAGTTGCTTTTGGTGTGGTTGTGTTCTCTGAGCTGGATAGTTAATCCGCGAAGCTTTCATTACCCTACTAGGCGACATCTTCAGCGCATAATTCAATTTCTTCAAGTGAGCTTTTAGATTTCTCCACGAGTTTATTAATCATCTCTGCTGGTGACTAGGCCTTAGACGTGACTGGTTGTTTTTGTGTGTTTTCACACCTTCTAGCTTACTTGTATTGGAACTGTTTGTTTCTTTGATTTGAACTTTGACCCTTTGTGTGTGTGAGGTTTCTTTCTTATCGGTTGATAAATTTTGTCTGTCTCGATATGTCTATTGATTGATGATTTACTGGAATGTGAAGCTTCTAAAAATTCTCTGGCATTCTCGGTGTTTCCTCTGTCTAATATTTGAACGTTGTCCCAGTAGAATTGATGTCCATGGTTGTCTGTGTGTAGTGATATGAGTGAGGGAGTGGATGTCATGTCTTTTGACGGCTAGTTTATGTTCATGGTTGTGGTCCACTTTGGCCAATGTAGTGTTTCTTGCAGTTGTTACAATTTATTTTGTAGATGATGTCGGTTTTATCTTCCTTCGTTGTTGAGTCTTTTGGTTGACATAGAATTCAGTGAAGTGACTTTGTTGGTTCGTGTACGACGTCAATTCCTAAAGGTTTGAATAGTCTTGTAGTGATTTCTGAGATATCATTTATATATGGTAAGACGATTTTCTTTGTGCTTTCCTTGGGGGCTTTTGGCTTGGTAGGTTGGCTTGGGAGTATATGTCTTTTGATGAAATTCCGTGGATATTCACTCTTTTGGAAGACGTCCATGAGATATTTTTCTTCAATTCTCCTTAAGGTGGGAGTGCTGCGAAGCTTCGCAAATTAACTAGCCAGCTCAGAGAACACAACCACATCAAAATCATCCACCTGAGTTACAAATCTTCTCTATCATATCTAAATTAGTTGCTTTATCCTGCATGTCGGGCTGAAGCGGATATTCATCGGTATATTGGAAATTACTGAAAAAGGTATTATGTGACACAAGAACCTGCTCAGTCAGTATATTACACATATGATAGGAATGAAGATAATTTAAATGATGTACTAAGGGGTGGGGGTAGAGTTGGAGTAGATGAATTACAAGACTCTTAAAGATTTAAAAAAAATAGTACGTCATGTAGTCTTTGAAAAAATTAAGACTACGACGATGAGAACAATAAAGAAGGCGAAGACGAATTGAGGTGGAATGAATTCAAGTGGTAAAATAGAATAGAATAAAAGAATAGAACATTACTATGACCAAGGTAAAGAAAGGGTTTTGATAAAACGTTTTTGATTACATAATTTAGGTTTCTTTTCATGTGTAGCTAGAGCTTCAACTATACATAAGTGGAGAAAATGTAAGCTTTTGGAGTGGTTAGATTTCAAAACAAGATTTTGAGCGAACAATTGTTTTGGATAACTTCTTCTTCAGGCTCTACAGTTATGAATCCATGATTAACAGGGTACATATAGCCAATAAAGGCAAATGAAAATAATATCACAAAACTGTATTGGGGTGCATGTGTGAGCTGAGATGATAGTCCATTAGTTAACATAGTCAATTAAATGTGTATAGGGTGTATAGTCAGAAAAAATATGATGCAGTGTGAATGAACAATTGGGTGATATAGTGTTGTTTTATGGTTAACAGAATACAAGTGTCATTGGGGTGAGAGAAATGCGATAACCACATAATATATACAAATACCGATAATGTCTAATGATAAAATAAAGAGGCTAAATTGTAAATTGTAATAAGATGCTACAGAATCGGTAGGCTTAGTATAAAATCATAAAGGTTGACAAAAAGTAAGGGTAACAGTGAGGTGAAACAAACTGGGTGGAGAAATGGGTAATAAAGACATGGTATCACAAAATAATAATAATGATAATAGTACGAAAAATTATGATCCTGGTGACCTTATAGTGGGCCAGGGTAGACAAAAAGAGTGAATAAGTTTTTTCTATACACATAGGTCTGGTCTCTCTCTATTAATCTCTAAAGCCTTAGCTATGGCTAGGAGGCGTAATCGTGTCTTTGGGGAGATTGTTCGGTACTCGATACACAACTGTAAATGACTCATCTACTTTGATGCTGTGTTCGCTATCCACTAGTTGAGACAAAATTGCACTGTTTAATGATTTGGTTGCTCTTTTCTCAAGTCAAACAGGAATATGTTCACGAGTGCGTAAAGGTAAATTCCTTTGGGTATGACATGTATAACTAGCTCCACCGGAGCAGTTGAATTTATACACACACACACACACACACACATTGATGTCGCCATTTCGAGCAATCTATCTTTAATGCACGGTGTCAATATCGGTTTGGTTGAGAAACTGACCTGCAGTTTTGCGGCATTAGAAGTTCTTTCAATTGATCTCGTTAATCTACTGTTTAATATATCGCTAGCTATATTGCCTTTGGATTGTACATTTATGTAAAGCTTTTTTTTTACTTACTGTGTCTCGCTTGGTTTTATGTGTAGTTTCGTAGATGTACTTTTTTACAAAGTTGGTAGGATAGTTGTTTTGTAGCAAGGCGTTTGTAAGATTTCTTATTTCATCTTCAATACAATCGTCGGTACATATGCGTCTAATTTTATGACTGGCTGATTAAATAACATAGGTCTGAATGACCTGACTGCGGAAGGTGTTCACAAATTGAAGACTTCGTCATTCTCTGCTTGTCCTACAGAGAGCACGCTCACAACGTCCAATGTAATCTGCTTCCCAGAAGTGTATGAAAGAGTGTATACACACAGAGATGGACATGAGAGGTAGTTTATCCTTAACGCATTGTCAAATCATATTTCAGTTAGCAAATAGTAAACATAAGTCAGCTGCATAAAAAGAGCGTTTAATACATTCAGATGAATGGCTTTTAATTTGCTTCAACAATAGCGTCACCTTTGAACGCTAAACTCATACATAGTGTCTTCTTTGGCACTGTGATTTGGCTGCGGTTGGTTTTTTTCTTTGTCTATTTCTTAATTGCATTATTTTCTACCCCCACCCTCTATTAAATCTCTACGCTCATGACGACTGTTGCTAACTCAATTTTCGTTTATTTTTAAGTGAATTCTACTCAGCTTATTAACTTAACTCTCATTCATTTTCAAGTGAATTCTACTCAGATTATTAACTTGACTCTCATTCATTTTTTCATTGAACCCTACCAATTAGATTACGTCACCCAACCTACTTTTGTAACTTTATTTTAGTTTCTAACCGATTAACGCCTTCAAAATTACGTAATCTGTTTGTCAAAAACTAACAATTGCATTAACACATCTTTGGAAATATTCCTTTTGTTGCCAAGACAAATTACTATAAATTTGCGATTTGTACAGCTTGAGAATGATATCGCCGAAAAGAGTAACTCTTTGCTGAACACTTTTTCTTTTCTTTCTTGATGTTTCTGTCAATAAACCTTCTGGGATATCCATTATATAAGAGAATCCTATATCGACCCTATCTATAAAGCGAATTTTCTGAATTCTGGAGAATAGATTACCGATAAGATTTCTTCTTTTGCCTAGAGGTACATAACTGTTGAACTTGGTGTACTGCCTTGTTAATCAACCTTTCAACATGACTTCCTCTCTTCTCTCTAGCATCACATCTAGGAGGTGAAATGTGATTTGACTCTTCTTTGATTGTGAAAAGCCTAGATGGGTGAGAACCGTTACATTTTCTGAGAAGCTCAGTAGTTGAACAATTGTCATCACAAATAATAAAGGCATTGTCAATATACCGCTTATTTCAAACTGACAAAAGTTGGAATGCATAGGTCACTGGATAGTCAGTGCGCTGGATCTGTAACAATCAGATTCGTGAGGGTTTGGCCTCTGGTAAGAGTTATAGGTTTGCACTGTTGAACATTCGCAAACTAAGATGAAACAAATGTACGCAGTACTCTTTGGTTTTCTGTGATTCTGTAAATGTTTCACCTTATATTATGTTATTATTCCTTTGGGTTCCAAATGAAACGTATGACTTCAGGTGCACATTCCCGTCTCATCTTGCTATTTGCAGTCTTTTTTCAGATGTTCTGAATGATCGCTCGTAAGCTCCTCATATGTTCTCTTCAATGTTACCCTTAGATCGTCAACTTGTCACTTGCTTTGCATTTGGGTTCCAGTGGAGGACATTCATGTCTCAGGATGTCACTCGATGGTTTCGTCTGTGTATATCTGACCCCTACCCATACTATTCTGCATGTTTGTAGGAAAGAAGGTTATTGGTTAATATGTCGCTGAAGTTTCTTGTCGTTTGCTCACCCTTTCACAGCGGCCATCTGATCTTTTTTTATCAAGACATTGAAGACAGCTATTGGAAATGCTTTCTGTAACGCACCAAAACTATGAAGCATATAGAAACACTCGTTCTCAGGAGTATAGGAGATCAGAATCTTGTTTCTTACGCGGAGTGCAGTAGATTTCCACACTAATTTCAGAGTAATGAAGGTATGTCTTGCTTTTCGAATTCTCTCTTTGACATCTTCATCCGTGCTGTCACCTGTTTGGTAAAATGATGCTGCTTATCTAAGTGATAGAGGCGGCTTCCTTCTTCAAACGTTTCCCGTTGTTGGTTAGGTTCCTTCTTCACTTCTACCTTTTCTATGTCCACCTGTAGTCCTGCCTTCTCAGTTTCTTCTGCGAACTTCATGATCCTTATCTGTAGATCTTAGGGTTGGTGTTGCATTAAACACTAATTTACCCACGGAGTTCAAATCTTCCAATGTTTCCTCGGTGGTCCAACGTATCCCAGTCTTCTTGCTCCCGATTATCGGTTACACAATTTTGTCCACCAACAATCAGGAATATCATCAGTTATATTTCTGTGCTAGGGACATAGTTTAGTGAATCCAGGGTGGGGTGGGGGTTGGGACTCAGCCATACCCTTTCACTTTCTAAACGGAAAAGATCAATCCAACCAAAAACATACTTTGTATATGTATATTTTTCATCGATGAATGAATTTGTTTGTCTGACCTTAAACTATAAATTACACAGTGGTTCCTTGATTTTCTGTTATGCTCAGGACAGTGGTAGTTTCGCTGGGATTATAAAGTATAATATTACTCAAGAAATAATCGATACCTTTTCATTTATTCGCTACACTTAATGAACAGTCCTTAATAATAATAATAATTTATTTCTCACCACTATTGTTGCTCAGTGCTCAATATTCAATTTTTGTTGTTTAATCATGACTTGTTTTTTTTCCTTTTTAAATTTTATTTTAGAACACTTTAAAAGTTTAACCTTGAAAGATGTACCAATGTCAACTGTACAAATGTATAAAAAGAGGTTAGTGGTTAGTTTTTATTTTATAAATATGTGTGTGTGTGTTTAAGTAAAATTCTGTGACAGCTGTTTCGTCCTAGTTGGGAGATATTCAGCAGTGCACACCATTGGCCACACCAGGGATCGGATCCGGGACTTTCAAGCTATGAGACCAAACTAATTGATGACCATTCAGGTACTTTGACTAAGATTGAGTGTCCCGTGATATAGCACTGCCCTCATCAATCCCTTCGACGAGCATCCAGTTCACCTTGAGATGATGCACCCGTCTGGTCACGACGTCTCCTCAGTACAGCTTTAAGACATTCATCAAATAGCTATCAGTCAGTTGGAGGTTAATATATTTGGATAATGATAAATGTCTACCAATTGAGCACTATTATTATTATTTCGTTGGGTTCCGAGTGGACCATAAGGCTTCAACAACACATCTCCACTTTGTTCTATTTTTTACCATCCTCTTTATCTGTGTCCACGTTTGCTCATAATCTCTCATCTCTTCCTCGCCACACGATCTCCTCCATATCACCCTAGGACGACCCGCGTGTGTCGCTTCCTAATTGGATTCCACTCGAGATATGGCCTGGTGTGCGATGTCATTCAACGTTTTCCTCAATGTATACCCAATTCATCTCCATTTTCTTCTACATATTTGTTGAGCGATCGGTTCACGATTGGTTTGTTCCCACAGTTTGTTAGTACTAATTCTTTCTGGGCATTTGATCTTCAGTATGAAGACCAGAGAAAGGAGTAGCTGTTGACAAAAGTCTATAGCTTGTTGGAAATCCTTTTCGTTACACGCCACTATGGTAATATGTAATTCGATATTAATTTGTTGATTGGAAATATATGTCACGCAAAGATAAACACACACACACGCACAGTAAAACAATGTTATTTATTTGTTCGATGATGAAGATGAGAACACAATTTATTATCTTTCATAATCATGACATTGACCGTGCAACTACACAATGTTGAGACTTGATCTTTATAGTACTTATTCTTTCTTCCTACTTTGCGTCAGCGGGGCATCGGGACGCTCCATATGTCTGTCTGAACATCTGTCAAACACATCAACTCAACTGTGTAGGTACAATTCAGTCCACTTGTGAGTTGGAAAGTCACATAGGGGAGCTTCCAATGTTCGATTACACCGGGAAAAGGAATAAAAGATGGAAAGTTAAGCACCAATGTGTTTTTAGAAAATCTATAAATTCAGACTGATATGTTGGATTTCGGTTCAGCTCAGCCGATGTCAGTAAAAGTAGGATAAGTGGAATGCTTAAGTCATTGGACGAAAAGACTCGATAGTACGAAAGAGAATCCAAGACAGGAAGTAAGATATTTAAGAGAAGCTTTGACACTAATTACCTCGACAAATTGATCATGAAATATGCAGGCGGTTGTGGGAATAAAGTTGATAGCAATAAGGACTCTGTGTATGGAAGGCATACATAGAAAGATGACAACACCAACAATAGGTAATTTAAGGCATCATTAGTTCTTGAATACAAAGAGAGAATCTTCAGAGTCATATGCAGCATTTCCAACCGGGCAGGTATAAAAGTGGTATTCATGTCCACAAATTCACTTGTCTGTCTGTCTGTTTTCGACATAGAACTTTGCACAAATGTGCGGAAGTTCAAGTCGCCACATTCCGTGTAGCACGCGAAGCAAGAGAAGAAAGTACAAGAAAAGCATAATAGAAACAGTGAGCAGAGGTGTGAGACAAAGGAGTAATAAAGAAAAACAAAACAGTTTCATTGGAGATCATAAGTCATAGGGAGTGGATGCATCTGCGCCACTGAGAACGATTTTGAGCCATGTCACCAATTGTTTCCAACCATAGATTTTTACCGTCCCGAGGACCCCAGCCTGGAAGTCTACACCTTTCTACGTGGCTTAGACCAACTGTTGTGGATTTCATTGACTGGTGCCAAGTTTTTGTTTGACCGCCGCTAGCTTTTTTCCAGCCTGACCCTATATCCGCTAACATTGCTCGTCGAGGGAGGCGATGGCTTGGCATACGTAACACATGTCCTAACCATCTCAGTCTTTGTAGCTTCACGACTTCGTCGATTGATTTCCCCTGCTTACCTAGAACTCTACGCCTAACCTCCATGTTGCTCACCTTATTATGCCACTTTACACGGGAAATAGAACGCAGGCACCTATGATCAAAGACAGCTAGTCTTTTCATGTCTTCCACTCTCAGTGGCCAGGTCTCACAACCATAAAGGAGGACGGAGCGGACTGATGAGCAGTACACTTAGAAATAAAGTATGTTTCTCAAAATAGTTGACTTTATCTAATATCTTACAATCCTTGTGACGTCAAATATAAATGCCAAAATGGCGGGCCAGAGTCAATTCTGACAAAATTTCCTTCAGTTGATTCTGTTAAGATGAGAAATCTAGAAAACAGCTCAGCTTTATAGCACTGTTTGTCGTTACAGGCAACTCTACAACAGGATGGGACAACGTGACTGTCTTAAAATCTAATGTACTAGAGTGGTAAGAAGCAATGATGACTGAAGTTGTACTTATAATATAGTCATATAAGAATATGCGTGATAGAAAAGACTCAACAACTGTCTGTTTGGATAACTAAAAATTCTACCACCCTTCATACGATAAATAAGAAGATAGCATATGTGAGCTACTGAAAGTCACGTTTTGAAGTTGTCGTCTAAACAAGTGTTGTTATGATTTATGAACGTTGTGGAATAAATAATACTGCTTTTGTGTGTGTGTGTGTGTGTGTGTGTGTGACGTATATGCAAAAAATCAATAAGGAATAATAATAATAGTAATAAAAGAATGAAAGTAGTCTCCTTTAATCTTGGTTTGATAGAGATAAAAACGTTGTAGATTAACGATTCAATGATATGTGAACCTCCATCATTATAGCTCAGGTCGTTGTCAGTTTATGTGCATTGCTAATTGGAAAGTGTGACGATTTGGTGAAGAAGAAGAGAAGACAGAATAACAATTTACAGCTTTGCGTAACATCTGAAGAAAATTATAGTTCATAATCAGCTCACTGAGTTGAAATCATGAATATGCGTGTTATTACGATTGTTATATTATTTCCGTAGGTTTCGAGTGATACATATGGCTTCAACAGAACAACTCCATTTCATCGCATTATCTACAGTCCCTTTTAGCTGTTTCCACTATTACGGATAAGCTGTCATCTCCTCTTCACAAGATCTCCTCTTCATGTCTACTTCGGATGTATCCCTAAGCCGTCGTCCTCCATTTGGTTTCCACTCGAGCGATGGCCTGCCACGTGCTGTCATCTGACGATCTCCTCGACATTTTCCCAATCCATCTGTATTTCATCCTATATATTTGTAAAGCGATAGGTTGCTGGTTGGTTATTTCCCAGAGTTCTTGGTTAAATAATTCTTCCTGGCCTTTTGATCTTCAGCATCGAGCGAAGACAGCTGTTAATAAAATTCTGCAGTAGTAGCTTGTTTGTAATGCTTGTATTGACGCACGCGCAGAGTCTCTGAACCATATAGGAGAAATGATGAGGCATTCGTGCTGAAAATTCGAAACGTTTTTTTTCTTTATGTTTGGCTTAGGAGGTTTCCATTCAACCTTTCACATTTGCATCCGTATTGGCTGTAATAGAAATGATTCTGCCTTGATAAGTTACTGACAATTTGAAGAATCCACTTCCATAATATCTGAGATGTCACAGATTCTCCGGACCCACATCCCATATCGCTTCATCTTTGTGGTAATCTGAGCAACCTTCCAAGTTTGAAACATTGTGCGAATATTCCATATGTCCATGCTTTTTATTGCTTTCATCTTACAGAAGACATATTGGAGGATTGGCTTCTTGAAGACTTTCGCTAGCTTGCGTTGTTCCGTCCCCTTGGTCCTAGTGAATTGCGAAAAGGGGTTTATTTTTATTATTATTTTGCCTACACGTTGAAGTTCTATGCAACGTTTATTGTTGATTTCCTGTGATAGGGTTTTAAGTCCTCCCCTATTCTTCCACGCTTCGAATCAGTTAGTAGACTGGTGAACTGGGCGAAAACCAAGCGAGGTTTAACCTCTCTAAAGTAAATTTATTCTTGATTGCTTTGTCAGAATTTTTATCAAGATGTAAATCATGTGTATAATTTATAGTTTTTATTGCGGAGAAACCTATTTCGGAAGTAAGTAAAATAAAAGCGGAAAGAGGTATGATTTACTAGAAGCGGGGGGGGGTGGGGGTTGGAAAGGCTGTTATTTTTCAATCTGGACATTTTGGAATTTTTCTCTCTTTTTTATTTTGTTTTGAAAAATTGCTCCTTAAAAAAAACAAAAACAACTCATGTGGAAATTATTTTTAAATTAAAAATTGAAGCAAAGCGCGTAAATTTTATGTATGTACTCTGAAAAATCTTGATCACATTTTTTGGAATACATATTGACAGTGATGATAACGATGTGTTGTTGTTTTTAAGTAACCGACTGGTTAACGTAGCATGGAGAGGCTTGTCAATACTGATACCGTTAAAACTATGTTTAAAGCCTGTGTGAGTGAGAGAAGGGGAATATAATCTATTTGAATCAAGCGATGCATGATAGAGATAGCGTTAGTAAGACTTCTACTGGAAGTTGATACTGGTTAGTCAGCAGTCAGTTAGTCTCTATGGATCACCTCATCGATTTCCTTGTCAACCGAAACTCTAGTAACTGGTAATGCTTTAAATCTATACTGACCGCTATTGCTTACACAAGTCAATCATTTTATCCTAGCGATTTGACTTTAGTTTCATCTGGTCTACTATGTATTATTATTACTATTATTATATCATTTAATTCCTAGAGGAACATAGGGCTTCAGCTGTGCACCTCCATTGCCTTCTGTTTTTCTACCAACTTTTTCACCCCGCTCCATGTCTGCCCACATGGTTTCATCTCCTCCTCACATGACCTCCTCCAAGTCACCCTTGCACTGACGACCAACTCGCCGCTTCCCTTTCGTGTTCCACTCGAGGAATGGTTTGTCTAGTGATGTCACTTGACGGTTTCCTCAGATTATGGCCAATCCACCTGCCTATTTGTTGCACAATCGGTTCCTGGTTGGTTCGCTCATTGCCAGATATCCCTGTTGCTGATCTTTTCTGGCTGGCCATCTGATCTTGAGTAATGAAAGCTTGTTTTGCTTTTCCGAGCCTTCCTCTGATATCCTCGTCAGTTCCGCCTGTAGCTGAACGATGCCTCCCAGGTAGATAAAGGAGGTTGTTTCTTTTAGGTTCCTCCCATTTATGCTGATTGTTGTCTGTTGTTGTCGCTGTTGCGGTTGGCGAGGAATCTTCATCACCTCTGTTTTATCTATGTTTACCTGAAGTCCTATCTTTGATGCTTCTTCTCTCTCCAACTTGTTGCTTTTCACTTGCATATCTTCTAGTTTGTGGGAAATCAGACATTTATCATCGTTGAAGTCCAGATCCTCCAAGTTTTTTGTATGGGTCCATTTTATGCCTGTTCTCTCGTTGGTTGCCGTTGTCTGTCGCATTATCCAGTCACTGGAATCAGGAAGATCATTGGTGATAGTAGACAGCCTTGCCTCACTCCCGTCCTCACTTCGAAGGCTTCCGTAAGTTTCCCGTTGTAGATTACTTGGCATGCAGCAATGTCGTATAACTGTTGGATGAGATGTATAATTGTCGATGGGACCCCGTAGTAGCAAAGTAGTTGCCAAATCACCTGTGTGTGTTCATAGAAAAGGCAACGAAAACTGATAACAATTACCATAATGTGGGTGGCATTGTTTCAGCCACTAGTAGTGGCACCGATGAGGGATGTCAAAGTCAACGAGAATTGGAAACACAGGGAAGATTTTCATTATTATGAAATTAGTGTGGAAATCTACTGCAAAGTTGGTATAAAGAACAAGATTGAGATTTTACTCAGCACTCATGTCCAAGCTGCTACTTATGTATGGGTTCACAGACTTGTCACATTCGTCACCGTAGCCATTTTCAACATGCTGTAGACTTTGATTGACAACTGGTTTCCCTCACTACTAAAGATCAGAGTTATTTACTACTAAGGATTAAGAACAAGGCGCTATGATAATAAACCAATCAACAATTCATTTCGCAACAAATATGTCGTGATATAAAAAGGTGGAGATTGAATGATTAGATGTGCATTGAGGAGATCATTGAGTGTTATCACGTGCCAGGCAGTTCCTGGAATAGAACCGGAAATGAGAAACGACGAGTTCAAAGCGTGTGCGAGGTGTTGACATTAGGGAGATCGTGTGAAGAGGAGGTAATAACATCACAGAAAACGGTCACTGGTGTTCGGATTCGATAACGTTGAAATTGATTGATTTGACTGGCACTAAATAATGCTGTCATTAAGGGTTCGGTGCGGGAAGGTAATAAGTAATGCCTATTTCCAGTCACTGTTGAACCCTGGAACCCACTCAGATAAAGACTGAAGACTAGTGCCATTCCATTCTGTTCTTTTTAGTTAATTTTAGCTGATTGCATTATTTCCCATAAGGTCTCATCTCCTCTTCACATGATCTCCGTCGTGTCATCCTTGGATGTCCAACTTGTTGTTCCTCATTTTAGTTTTATTTGATGGCCTGGCCTGACATGTTATGTATCATTCAATGGTATTCTCAGTATATTTCTAAGCGACTGGGTTAATTTTCTGGCGTATGGTCGTTATGCCGACATTTAACCTTCCCCTTTCTTGAGGTCTTATGATCGTCTAGTGAAATAGTAGACTAGGCGAAGTTTTTTTTGGTTTTATGATCAATGGATATCTAAGGTAGGTAACATTTATGCTGACTTAATACAAATTTACTAGGTGCTTAGGCTTAAAGTTACACATGGTTTACAAAACTGCAAAGAGTTTTAAACCAAAAATAGTTTTTAGCATTTGAGCTGTTAATCATAGGGTATAATAAAAAGACGGCTGCAGTGAAGAAAAGTTTCTTTCCGACGAAGTCATCAATCAGACTGTATTTATAGTAAATGGGCCACTTCAACATGCATATATGTGTTCACTTGCTCGTGTGTAGTTGAGTATATTGCCCGTAACATTCTCGGGAATACTATCCAGCCGGTCTAGAGTAAAAGGGGAACTCAAGAGCGTATATAGTTTAGGATATTCAGCTGCATTCAAAAATTCCTTCAAAGTCATATAAAGGATCCTATGAAATCTTTCAAAGGGAGTGAAACGGAGGTATCCGGGAATAACTGAGGCACCAGCAATCCAAAAGTTCAAGAACACACTACGTGTACAAAAGAAATACGTCCAGCCGTTGTTGTCTCTACCATGGCCATCATAAAAAGTCAGTTCTCTCAATAATGATTATCCTACTACCTATATTATCCAGTCTTTCTGCCTATTTGGTTATTATTACGTTTTTAATCCATAATTGCAATTTTATTAATTTGATCCTTAATCGGAAATAGATGTGGAACGTTTTCACCGATTTACTATAGATACATGAGTGTACAGCCTAGTTGATAACCTCGTCGAAAAGACAACTTTTTTTTGCTACAGTCGTCCTTTTAATATTTCATAAGATCAGAGACTTGCACTGCGCGTCACGAAGGCCATTTCGAATAAACTACACACCTTCATCAACAGCTGTCTTCGCTCAATACTTAAGGTCAGATGGCCGTTCAGAAAATATCAACAACAGGGATTTCTAGCAATGAACGAACCAAAGAGGCAGGAAGCAATTTTGCAAGAAATAGAGTTGGATTGAACATACTCTGAGAAAACTAACCATCAAGTGAGTGACATCACACGCCAGGTCATCGCTTGTGTGGAACCCGAATGGAAAGCGACGAGTTGGTCGTGAGTGCAAGTGTAACATGGAGTATGTCATGTGAAGGGGAGATGAAAGCATGTGGGCAGACGTGGAGTCAGGTGAAAACATTGACAGAGAACCGAATGCAATGGAGACGTTCGGCTGAAGCCCTATGCTCCTCTAGGAACTAAAGGAAACAATAATACCATATATATATATATATATCCCTGAATTTATTTACGTGTATTCCCTATCAGTTGCTCCCTCTTTTTTTCAGATTAGAAAATGAGCGTGCAATTATCGATTTAGCTCGATCAATAAAACAAGGTCGTATACCAAATATATTTTCACGTAATCATATCTCTACACTCTTACAAGATGAGAATTATCGCAATTTACTAATTGCACGGATTAATCGTAATTTAGAAAATGATGTACGATTTAATCAACAACATATCGATGATATGGTATGATAAGTGTGTTTTATTATTATTATTATTGTAGTATTTTATTTCTACTTTCTATCGTTGCTGTTATTTGTACTTATTTTATAACATTATTATTCCTTTGAGTTCTGAGTGGAACATTTCAGTAGCAGATCGCGATCTCATTGTGTTCTAAGCTGAACTTTTTTAGCTGACTCTACAACTTTCAACACAAGCTTTCATTCTATTTTTTTTATATGATCTCTTCTCATCGTTATATTTGGAAGCACACCCAACTGTTCGCTTCCCATTAGGATGCCACTAGAGGACCTGCGGTGTGACTTCATACAACATTCTTCTCGGAAAATATCTAATCTACCTCTACCTCTTTCTACATATTTGTTGGACATTATGTTTTTGGACTGTTTACTACCAGAGTTTCTAGATGTTTATCTTCCTTGACCACCTGATCTTCATTATCGAACGAATGTAGGTGTTGAGGAAATTTCGCAATAGTCTATTAGGAATGCTTTTGACGATACATGTGACAAGTTGGAAGGTTTCATCATGAGTTGACATAAGTTAGAGAACCATTGGAAAACCTTGGAGTACTGGGCAGCTGTTTCGTCAGTCTAGTTTGGGACTCTTCATCGGCACCCACCCATCAGGGTCCTGGGTTCGAACTCAGCTGTCAAACTAAATCCCTAGAAAAATCAGTACTTGAAAAAACATTTACCGAGTTTTGAAATATCAGATCTCTTTCCTTGTGCTGAGTATAACTTACCTCTACACTGATTTCAGATAAATGAACGGTTGTCTCATCCATGGCGTCAGCGTGTAGTTGAAACTATTCTGTCCAGGTGCGGTAAATGAAAGAGATTATTTCGGTTAGATTTATCGTGTTAATGATATGTGATGCTTGTTGTTATTGGCTGGGTGTCTACATCATTCCTGTCTTCTCTATGTGCAGTTGGAATCGCATCTTTGCTGCCTGTTCTGCCCACTTGTTGGTTTTTACCTGTAGATCTTTGAGTTTGCACGGCATTTAACATAAATTATCCATGAAGTTTAAATCAACTAGTGTCTTTTCATTCTCCATTTCACTTTAGAGCGGAAGGACATCAGTGTTAGGCGACAGCTTTGTCTTACCTCTGTCTTCACATCAAAGGCTTCTCGGAGCTTTCTGTTGACATGTAGCATCATCATAAAACTAGCTGTTGAATATAGTTTATAATGGTGTGGGGCCCTACATGTTGTTGAATCAGTTTTCGAATTACTTAATACATGACGCTATTGAAGGTCTTCTTTGAATCGATGAAGTCGAGGTCAACAATCGGTTGAGGATCTATGATTTGTCCAGTGATGATGCGTAGCGCTATAACTTGATCCGTATATGTTTTGTTTTCCCCTGAATCCAGTTTATCTTAGGTAGATTTTCGGACTCATAGCATCTCTCTCTGGTCTCTTTAGGATGCTGTGACTTAATAGTTTGCTTTGGATGGACATAAGCATGATTTCACGACGGTTTGTACAGGGGCTTTACTTGTTCTTCATTGAGATTTTGAAAAGGTACCTTATCTTCTTTTCACACCCTCTTTGCACCTCTTTAAGTATGTCTAATTTATATTATTGTTATTGTTATGATTGGTCTATAGTCATTGCATTGTCTTTTTCTCATGTCTACTATTAGCCTATGGAACATTGGAATCAATATAAAGCACTTGTTTGGGCTCTTAAACAAATGATCACTGGTTTAGAGTATAGTTTTCGTTCAGATATCACCTTTCCAACTACAAATCATTATGATCGAATGCATAGAGATAAATCTCCTTCACGAAATAATATTAATAATAATTATAATAATAATATTCAAGCAACACTGAGCAGTGGTCGATTCGGATTCTCTACAGGTGTACAAAAAACTGGTGGTTTTGCTTCAGCTTTCATGTTAATGGAAATAGCACATACACACTTTTATCGGCTACCTAATCGTTCAAGTCATGGTAATCCTACAACAACTGCTTGTCCAGAAATTATTTGGAATAGTATGCCAACTACACCAATAGCTGAGATGAGATCACCTGTATCAAGTAGTAAACTAATGAGTAGTGGAGCTATTCCAACTATTCATTATCCGGTAAGTTGTTTTCTTTTTATTTCCTTCACGTTCCCAGTGGAACATAGGGCCTCAAGCTATTGGCTTGAAGTTTCTGTAGCAGTGTTTAATTTCACAGGATGTGGTTGCTAGCCTCATGCCCAACCCTTCCTCTTTACCAGTCTCATTTCTGGCTTAGCGAGGTAAAGGAGTGCGTCGGCTAGGGATCGAACTCCCGACCATGTGCATGGTCGGCGAGTGTCTTAACCGCTGTGCCACCGTCGCATGGTAAGTTGTGTATTTAACATTATTTTTTTATAATGTAGCAAAATCTCGGGTGAAATAGTACAGTTTGTGTGTTAAGTATTCAAAAGAGATTTCTGTAATCAAATTTTGTCTTTTATCTGTCCAAGTTCCTTTTCATTCCTTTACGTTCTCAGTGGATCATCAAGGGCTTCAAGCTAGAGGCTTGAAGTTTCTGTAGAAGTGGTGATTATTTTTGCAGTATAGGATTGCTAGCCCCAAACCCAACCTTCCTTATTTACCAGTAAAGGAGTGTGTCAGTGGCGGGGGATTGGACCTCGGACCACCTGCATGGTTGGCGAGCATTCTATCGATGTTCCACCGACTCACATCTGTTCAAGTAGTGTATAAAAATTAAGGATTCTTCAAGGAATAAAGATTACTTTTTCAGTCAGTTATTTGTTGTATATTCAATGTCAGGTCTTTCATTGTACGTCGACGGTTCAATGGCAGAATATTTGTCAACTGCACTACACTTGGTCCGCGTTCAATTCTCAACCGCCGTCGTACTCCTTAACCTCGCTAAGCCGATGGTTAACACGGAAAAGAGGGAATACTGATAGTTAGACTAGCATCTCTACTCCAAAGAAACGCCACCGTGATTGAAAGTTGATCTAAGAGTGCGTGAGAGAGAAGAAGCATTAGTGCTACGTGATTCCATGGGGCAAGAGACAACTGTATAAGGCTGGTCACATACGCCGTTTTTGAAGTGGGTTTCGGAGTTGTGTCCATATGCAGACCTTATTGCTAGCTTTGGATCACCTCAAAGTTATTCAGGACGTACAGTTTTTAGGGTCACCCTTTTTCTGACATCCTGTCTCCAGAGTGGAGAGGCAGCATAACTTACCATTATTACATGCCTATTCACGAGTACTGAGAGTTTGTCCTTAGAGCAAGCCAACATAGTATAAACGAATTACACTATCATGAAAACTGCTTTTAGTCTAAACCCTATCCAAGAGACCTTTTTAGTATGCCATGACCTGCAGGAACACTTGTTCCAGCCAGTATAACTCGTTGCGTCATTGTGATGTGCTAGCCCAACGACCATCACCACGTCATGGTAGCAGCTATCGGTCAGGAATGGAACCGCTTTCAGTAGCCTCATCTTTGTTTCCCTCTAAAATATCTATAAATCCTAGTGAGTTTGTGAAAAAGCGTTAAATTGGTTCACTTTTCCTCACCATAACTTGTAACTGCATATATCTGATTACAAATCACAACAGTCTCACTTTGAATTAATCATTTTAAGTTATGTAAAATGAGTTCAGATTGTATCTCATCGCTTTGTCTAGTGACAAATAAGTATATGGCATAGCGCAGACATTATTTTCGGACACACTTTGTCAAAATAGTGTGTTTATTCGATTCTATTTAAGCCTAAAGCTTTATTCAAATATCGCATCATCATGAAATTGATACAGTTAACAATTTCAAAATACTACAAGCTAAATCTCCAGTTCATAATGAATGTTGTTACATTAGTGATATTCATCCTTCTCTCACTGAGATTTTAATTTTAAGGAAAAAAAATGGGCAACTGAAAGCATTTTTTGGTCTATAAATAGTGGTGTTTATTCATCTATCAAAGGATCCCGTTTTAGTTGCATCCATTTATGTTACAATAATAGTGGACTTCAATTATAAACAAAAAAGAAGACAGTTCTTCTGATACAATATTGATGTTCATAATAAAAACTAATTTCTATAAAATGTACCCTTTTCATATTTAGTCTTACGCTGGGCTTTGTTTTCAAGTATCGGTTTTGTAGGGAATTTTGTTTCATTGGTTAGAGGATTTTATCATGAGCTGATATCGGTTAGAAAATCATTGAAAAATCAGCAAGGAGTACTTGACAACTGTTTCTTCCTTGTTTGGGACTCTTCAGCAGCACACAATCGCTGGGGTTCTAACATAGGACCTTCTAGTTACAAGGCGAGCTAGTAAACCATTAAACAACTTGGACCAGACTCAATGACCACTCCATGAATTTCAACTTCTATCGATTCACATAGCACGACCATTTCGCAATGTCTTCTTCGATGAATAACTGTCCTTACCTTCAATCTACTTCACCCTACTGGTCACGCCTTCCCACTAGGACCCTAGGTTAACTGTCTAAATAGCGCCAGTCGCTAGTGAGCATCACTGTGTCTTCACCTTTGCAAAACATAAACGACCTGGTAAGGTTGATGATGTGTGGACTCCAGTTTTCCTCTCGAAATGCTCTCATATGGTCGCGAATCCGATTGGATAGAATGCCATATGAACTTACTTTGGATACCGTCAACCATGGGAAGGTAGCTCCACTGTCATATGAATAAAAATTTAAGTCAAAGACTCGGTAAGAGGATGCCTCCTTAAGACATCCACATGTTTCTGTCTGTTCGTTCAGACAGTATGTCAGCCCACACATAAACTGTGAGATTTTGTGCCGCGCACCTTTCAATGTCCGCCAGGTACCACGTTTGTGCTTCAAGATATATATATATATATATATATATATATATATATATATACATTATCATATTTTACTTATAGGGCGTGTGTAAGGTCAGTGATGCAATTCACTTCAGTTTGTTTCTAACCTTTTCTTACTTTTCACTTTCCTATTTAGAGTAATCGACTAGACTTATCAGATTCTGAGGCGTACAACAGAAGTCCGAAAACAGGTGAGGTTGTATTTTTTTCTCCCACTTAAAGCTTATATTTGGATAAGCATGATTAATAAAAGATGGGATCTTAGTTGGAAAGCAGTGTGACGATGTAATTTCGCAATACATTGCATCAAACACAATCTAATCACATCCATATCTACTTGTCAAATCGATTTATACGTAAAAAAAAATGAAAGACCAATTAAAATAAACAAAATTCTAAAGGGTTTAAATTAACACTGTACATATTTCACGTTGATTTGATTGTGTGGAATCGAAATACTTGATTTATGTTGACATGGTGACTGTAAGTATAGATGGACGTTTCATTGATGCTTGAACTGGCAGTGGAATCCAGGAGGCTCATTTGGTGTCCTATTTAGGATTCGAGATGCAGGCACATTTTAGCTGATATGTTCCACCGAATTAGGTGGAAATGCCAATTCTGGATCCAACCGTTTAGTCACCATTATCGGAAATTGAGTAATAAACGACTCAGGAATAAGTAGGATAACAATTAACCCTATTCTGTTTGATAATATAATTCCATAAAGATTACCAGGATTGGTTAAACGTAAGCAGAAATTGTTTTTGTTGGAAGGGGAGGCCTTATTTTCCGTGGATGGCTATTATTGCTTCAGCGTATTTCAAAATGCGCTGCTGACGACGGTTTTCATCATATATTTATCGTAAAACACACATCGATTTAGTGTTTTACTATATACAGGGTTGGTGATCAGCCTCTTGCGTTTATTTTCTCCCACTTTCGCGTGGAATATGCGAATATTCCTTCCTATGTATGTGTGCCTACACATATGTATAGAATAAAGTTTGCAATTATGAGGGTGTATATATAAATGCATATATTCTATGGTTAAACGTTTGTTTTTATGCGCGTTATAAGATCTGATCATCTCACTTAATTTATCCAAGCTCAGGCCGTCGTCATCACCATTTCAATGAAGCTATCATGATTTCGCAGCCTGACCTGTAGACCGCCAGACTAGTAATTTCGAGGTCGCTAGTTCGAATCCTGCCGTGATTCAGATCTCCGTTTCATATTGAATCATCTGGTGTTAATTTTCAGGGATTTGAATGGTTATAGAATTGATCAGGAGAACCATCGGAAAACCTGGAAGTATTGGACAAATGTTTCGTCATAGTATGGCGCACCCACCGGGGTTCTAAAGCGGGACTTCCGGGTTATGAGGCGAGCTCGCAGATTATTCGACCACAGAGAAGTCATAACCAACGGGGTCCACCAAGTCGGGCAATAGAACAGTTACTCCGCGTAACATCGGCTGTCGTTTGCACTAATTGTACATCTCGAATTGGTAGAAGTTGGAATTCATGGACTATTGAATCTGGTCCCAATGGCTGAATGGTCTGCAAGCTCGCTCGTGACGGAAGGGTTCTGAGTTCGAACTCTGACGGTAGGTGCGTAGTATAGAAGAGTCCTAGATTATGGTGAAATAGCTGTCCAGTACTCACAGGTTTTCCAATAGTTTTGTAACTGCTGTCAGCCTTTGATCAATCATCTTTATTCGTCACCTGTCTTATGTCTTTTTTATTTAGCTATTTCAATTAACTGTATAATATTATGTGTCATGAGTTCGCTAGTAGATTTCTCGACAACCAGGCCTCAAGTAGTTTCACTTAGGTCTCACTCCAGGCCTCTCCAGTGCTTATTAACTACTAAACCCCTTTTAGCTGGTAGTAAGCCGGCTGAAGAGGGAAGTTTGGGCGGGAGGCTAACAGAATACTTGCTGTGTTTATGTACATGCATTTTTATAGTTTGCCACTTCCACGTTGAACCATATATGCAGAGACACACTGGTAGGTCATCTGCTTGGGTTTTAGTACCTTCAGGTGGTGTTAAAGTATGCTCCCCTTCCATGAATTCATCAATTTCAAAGGAACAAGTGTTGAGAAATCTGTGACAGGCAGTTAGTATTGTTTGATAGTTACATCTATTTATTTTTATTTAAACGTAGAAAAAAACTTGGTACAATATGGCACCAAGAAACATGCACCACACAAAAATAATAAACAAAACGTAGATCAAAAGTAAAAAAAGAATATAGGTAGAGAACGGATAAAGAACTTCATCTGGAAGGAAAACGGTCATGCCTAACAAGTTCAAACAGTATTCGTCAAATATCATCGGGAAGGGAAGAAAAGAGAAAATTGCAACACGTTCGCCATTGACTACGATTCTTGGCTATATCCGATAACGTTTCGAGCCATCGATTCTAGCTATCTCGCAGACCACAGCTAGGAAGTCTTGACGTATCAACCGATGCTAATCTAGCACAAATATCCCTCATCCTACGATGTCACATTATGGACTGGCCACCTCTCCGCCTTTTCCATTCGTTCCGAGGGCTAGCGAACAGAGACCTGTACGGAAGCCTCTGGGATGACATTCGTAGCACATGTCCAAGCCACCGATGCTGGTGGTGTTTCCAGATGACGAAATTCAATGAATGGTAATCTGCACTGTGTCCAAACACACGCCGCCGAACCTCAGAATTACTCACGCGATGATCCCACCGAAAGCAAGCAATTCTGAGGAAACAGCGATGATCGAACACACAAACTCGCCGCACATCCTCAGCTCGGAGAGGCCAGGTTTCACAGGCGTAGAGCAAGACAGCCTGCACCGAAGCATTGTATACTCGACCTTTGACACCCAGGCTAACGCCCCAGAGGTCGCTCAAGCTGATGTATGCCACCCTAGCCTTCATTATACGGTTCGAATCTCATCCGTCACCCGTCCGCCAGCATTCACACAGCTACCCAGGTACACAAACTTATCAACAACTTCAGGTGGTTCACCCGCAAGAGTGAGTGCAGGTACAGGCTCCTGCCAATCTTGTAACAGTACTTTGCACTTACACGGCGCAAAGCACATACCATACTTAAAGACACTGATCGTTAATTGATTAAGTGCCTATTTGGGCAGCCTGCATGCTATCGCACAGTAAGACGATGTCGTCTGCATACTCGAGGTCGAAAAGTCTGTCTCCAGGGAGCAAATCTACATCACTTTCACGCAAATCCTTGAGAGCTGACTCCATAATGTCATCGATGAAGTCAGAAGGCTTCAGTGTTAAAAAATATAAAGTTGGCATCTTCATTCTTTCATGCTAGTAAATATATGGCCTCCTATTGTATCAGAAACGTTTCGTCCTAACTCTGGTATCCTAATGGTAGTCATTCAGACTGGTGTATTTTGGAGCCTGTGGGAGAGTATGCTTTTTTTACGTCACTCTAATACTTCATGTTTACCTCGATTCCATGACTCTGGATGTATGTCGTTTTGTATGCTTAACTTGATGTGCTCTTCCATAGGATTTTCTAGAAGCTTTCCGGTCGTCTTATTCCAATTTGAATTCAGTAAATCAGGAAAATCAAAGAATAACAATACTTTGTTTTTATGTAAACGTTAATTGTATTACTTTCTGATTATTCTTATTCTTATTCATTAGTATTATTACTATTAATTCTGACGGTTCCTTGCATTTCAGTCAGGGAAAATAGCTTAACACCTTCTGGATCTTCTGTCTCGTCATCATCTTCTTTGACAAGTCGACGTCATACTATATCACCTCAGCAGCATCATTCAAAGTTAAATTCATCACCGCATAGGCATTCTCAGCCTCATCATCATCAGAATAACATCAACTCGAACTCAGTTAATAGCAGTAGTAGTAATAATAGTAATCATAATGATAATAATACACATGTTAATTTTCATCATATTACCAACATATCAAAATCAATAAAGTCACTAGAGAATAAATTTGATCTAGTGAATGTTTCAAATAAACTTGTAGATCTTAAAATGAAAATGGATCGTTCCAGTAGTCAGTTTAACGAAATCTACACTAGTATGTCATCTAAGCTATCGAATAACTTGAAACAGCATTATCACTTACCATCTGTGCATCAATATTTCCATAATAACATTCAAAGTATGAATAATAAAATTAGTAACAATAATATGAGTAATGGTTATGATATATCTCAGTCATCCCAATTAAAAGGCACATCTGATGAAAGCAGGATTGTTGCACATCCAGTTGGTGATGCTGATGATGAATCGCAGCGTCAAACAGTTGTTACAGCATCATCTGACCCACCACTTCTTCCAACGGGTTTGTATCACTTCCCGGTTATTCCTAATAGAACTCATTATGCTAAACCGCAATTCAGTGAGCATCTAAATTGTCCCATGGTTGTTGTTGTTGTCGTTGTCACGTTGTCGTCGTCGTCGGCGTTGAATATTCTCGCTTGATGATGCATACATGTTGTGTGTGTGTGTGTTTATCTTAATGTTGTCTTTCAGGTGACTGCATTTCACAGCAATCACTTTTTAAAAAAGGTATTACTGTGGATAGTTTGATTGAGAATAGTAATTATGGATTGCATGTTTCCTAACCCATCTTTATCTGTCTGTACTATTCATAGATTTTTAGAAAGAAGAGAACACGAATTTCAGCAAAGATGACGATGTTCTCGGCGATTTCATTCTCAAAAGCAGCTGTAGAATCGCATTTATATAGATTATTTTACATGGATACAATTATTATTTGTTTAATTCCACATAGTAACGAAGGTAATAACAATTTTCAACTTGATATGAAAGTTTGAAGGCATGAATATAGATTACAAGGGGCTTAGGGACAAGATTTCAAAGGATTCGAAAATAGTTATAACGTATGCAAAAATTATTATTTGATAACTAGAGAAATCATTTTATGTCAAATAGAAGGTGATAATTGTTTTCAACTTGATATGAATTACAAGAGGCTTAGAAACGCAGGGATAGAACGAATTACAGGTGTGAACAAAAATGAGCATGGAAATCAAAATTTTCAACTTGAAATGTAAGTAAGGAGGTGTGAATACAGATTACAAGAGGTATAGAAACAAAAAATTACACAGGATTAGAATATAATATAATAATAATACAATAATAATAAGATATATATATATATATATATATATATATATATACATATATAATATACAACTACCATGGACCCAGCTTGGTATGTTCCGTTTGTTTCCGTCTTTTCTTCTCTTCCTCATCTGTTTTCGTTCTCGCTTTTTCCTTTTGAGCATTTTTTCGTTCGCCGTGTGTCTGATCCTTATTCCCTCAGTCTTCATTAAATTCACCTAATTTTTTTTAGTTATAAAAACAGTTATTTTAATTTTGTTTCCATGCTCCTCGTGATCACACTTGTAATCCGTTTAGAATAAAAATTTTACAATTATATCCTAAACCTGTGTAATTTTTTGTTTCTATACCTCTTGTAATCTGTATTCACACCTCCTTACTTACATTTCAAGTTGAAAATTTTGATTTCCATGCTCATTTTTGTTCACACCTGTAATTCGTTCTATCCCTGCGTTTCTAAGCCTCTTGTAATTCATATCAAGTTGAAAACAATTATCACCTTCTATTTGACATAAAATGATTTCTCTAGTTATCAAATAATAATTTTTGCATACGTTATAACTATTTTCGAATCCTTTGAAATCTTGTCCCTAAGCCCCTTGTAATCTATATTCATACCTTCAAACTTTCATATCAAGTTGAAAATTGTTATTACCTTCGTTACTATGTGGAATTAAACAAATAATAATTGTATCCATGTAAAATAATCTATATAAATGCGATTCTACAGCTGCTTTTGAGAATGAAATCGCCGAAAACATCATCATCACTGCTGAAATTCGTGTTCTCTTTTTTCTAATGTTCATAGATTTTTAACGACATAATGAAGGATTTGCATTTTCTTTCAATTTAGTGAAGCGTTATTGAAGTATCTTAAGAGATGGGAAAACCATTTAGGGGCTCAGTGAATTAAGCAAGCAGACAGTAGAAGGTAAACTGTACACTAGTGTTTATAAAAAGCCAAAGCTTTCCACCAATAAATATTTAGACTTTAATTCATCTCATCCGTTTATTGTCTGTTAAGGCTGGCTTAGTTAAGTGTCTGACAAACCGAGCAGTATCGCTAAGTAGTACAAGAAAAGACCCAAATGATGAAATAAAACAGACGGAAAAATAGCTGGTTGGTATCAAATAACTATCCTATAAAATTCATTAAGAATATCAAAAAAGGTCAAAAGCAAAATAAAAATAATGATGAAACTAATAATGATAATACAAATAAGAGAGAATATAAGGCATGTACTGTTATACCATATAAGGAGGGGATATCTGAGACCCTCACCACGTAGGATTCTTTAATAGAGCAGGAATTAGAGTGGCATTTAAACTTACAAAATCACTCAGAGACAAGCTTTGTAGGCTAAAAGATTCGGTGGACCGAATTAAACAAAACAATATAATTTAAAAAATACCCTTCAATGACTGTGAGGTCAACTACATAGGTTAAACTAGAAGATCAGGAGTGGTGAGATTATCACAACATAAGAATTTTGCTAAGGTAAGAATGGTTGATACCACCTGTGAAGATAAGCAATTTAGAAAAAAGTTCAGCAATTGCACTGCTTGCATTAACACACAATAGGGTGAATGGAAGAGGGTTAAAATGCTAAAAAGTAATCTTGGTAGGTGAAGAGAGAGGTTGATTACTGAATCCCTTGTTTATTGAGTCTACACTCAAACACATGCAACAGAAATGACTCAATGCAAATACTAGAGATATGCAAGATATTGTTACCACTAGTCAAATCAGAGGAGGATCATAAATAATCTCCAAATTCTATATGAATTCACGTACATCATAAGATTCTACCAAGTAACTTGTTTTGACTATAAAGAGACTCGTCTTATTTCTCATTTTATTATATTTTATTGATAACACTAATATTATTTCTGAATGTACATTATCTCATATTGATTTTATTCAAATATCTAACCATTTCCACGCATGTATATAAATGAAGCGAGAAAGTTGTGTGAGTATTGCCTTGATATGACTATGAGCGGTAATAATTTGTGCTCGAAACGTGGTCATCAGTTAATATTACTTTATAACACACTGTGCATGATTTTATCAAAATAAAATCTTATCTGTAATGGTGTTATACTTTACCACCACAGTGCCCAAGTTTTATACTTATAATCTGGTATTAAGTTAAGAATAGATTACAGTGAGGTTCGCTTAGGGAAAAATGTTACAACTGCATTGAACTGAATGAACCCTCCATGGCTACTTTGTCATACCTTCCGATTTATTGAGCTGTGCAAATATCGAAATACAAAGACTGGCCTTTGAGTGTAAGATATTGTATTGTACATCTATTAGGAAGCAAAACGTCATATATATATATACATTCTCTTTACCATAACCAAGTTGGCTCACAGCCGAGAGGATGGATTATTATCCGACAAAGACCAAGGTGAGACAAAAGACAATGAATTGATCACACAGTAAATCACATAGTAACTCCATAGCAAGATAAACCACACGATGCATGAGAAAGGCTGATATACTTTTGCATGCTGGTTCCTATCAGAAAATTAAGGAAGGTGTTTGTCTGAATTAGCTGCTCAGATTCTCTGTTTATTGGAATCGCTTGCTTGGCGTATTCGAACCCTTGAGCGTCTATCTATCTAACTCTATTTGAATGCAAATTATGGTGTCTTTTTTCTCGTGTCATTTGTTCACTCGGCAAAGTTCTACAATAGCATCCCAAGGGATGTGAACGCACGAGTGACAATTGAGCCGACCAGTCAGAAAAATGGAGGGTTTTTGCATAAAAATTTACGTGTATTTACATAATAAGCATGAAAAACTATTAAACAGGGTATTTTTGTCTAATATGAGATAAAAAGATGTCTCAATTATAATTGGGAGTATCAGTTTTTAAATTAAACGAATTTCTATGCATATATTCATCCAGATGACTTGGTTTTGAGATCCGTTTATAGCTCTTATTGTATCTTTTAGTCTTCCCCATAGACCTTCTATTGAATTTGTATGAGTACAGGTTCTGGGATCGACGAAGTCATCCGAATGGTTAACTAGATGGTGTATATATCCCAAATCTGATGATCGGTTATATCCTGCCCATTCATCCGTGTGAATGGTAGTGCCTGGCAAGATGAGTCCTCTGGATAATATGGAGAAGAGTGGCAGCACTCCTATCTGGTATAAGTCCACTAAATCCTTTTCGAATTTGGATGTCGTAAAGCGCCAATACCAAAACGTTATTTGCTCTAGCACGTCTCCGATTATGTTTCTTTTTAATAAGGGCCGTTTCGTCGATATGAGTCACAATGCCGACTCCTCCCAAAACCTGCGTATTACTGTTCATTTTCCATGATGCCTAATCTCGAAAAAATTGCTACCATTGTAACAACAGAAGACAAGGGCCAGGCAACAGATCGTTTTATTATGAAAATCAACACGTATTCATATATATTTCACATACATTATTATAGCTTATGCAAGTAGACAAGCGCAGTCATTTGATTGGTTGTTTATCAGAAGTTAAGCAGGCAAACGCAGGCTTCTGATTGGTTGCTTCGGGATTCCTCGAAAAATAGAGTTCTCTATCTGCGAATCATATTTTGCCACGTTAAGTCTGCTGTGATTGGCTGTTGAATCAGCCTTGCTCATATTTTCTCACGGCCTGCTCTCACCAACCATTGCACAGTAGACTTCGATGTACTATCTATTTGAGCGGCAGTTGGTCTCACTCCGAACTTCAAAATCCACTGATGGCACAGAAACAGTATATTCGTCGGCGAAAGTTTCGATTTTTCAAAGAAAGTGCTTAGAAGACAACTAACTGAGAGTGTCACTTATCAGTGGGAACACTTATTCGTTTCCTACAATCTGTACATGTCAATATATATATATATATATTCATCAATGACCTGGGAATACGGCTGCAGGTTCATTGAAGCACCACAACTACATATCCGAGTACATCCCATCAATCCATTATCTAGGCAGTATTGATATACGTGATCTGGCTGAAATTTGCATCTGAGCAGATGAACAGGGGTCATTTTCGCGCTAGAATAATAATAAGTTTCCTCAACCAACGACTAGCAAACATTCAAGGTCACTCGCACTCCTGGGACGCTATTCTTGAACTTCACCGTTCACTCTATTAATAAAGTATTCGTCTTAAAAAATCTTGTCTGTGTATTGTCTATTCAACAGTAAATGCATATATCTTAATATGCGCTTTTAGTGTTGTATGCATCTATTCGTTGTCTTATCACGTGTTATGTGAACGGTGATTCCTGTCTTCGTCTAGATGAGACATAAAATAAATGCGTCTGTTATCATTCTGTTTTACTTTCTACTTTAGAATCATTTCGTCGTGGTCGTGAATTTACTAATATTATTGTTTCAATGAGTGAACCATCATCAGATAGAGAAGACAACGAGCAACATCGGCATCATTCTATTCGGTCAACAAAAGGTCTGTTACGCTCAGACAGTCTTAGTTTAAGTAAACAGGATTTCAAGTTAACTGCTGATGACTATCAAATGGCTTATAAAGCTGTGGCCGCTACTGCTTCAGGTTATGATAGTGATAGTAATTGTTATACTGGTGTCAAATCTACAGGAAATGATAGTAGTAATAATAATAATAATAATGAAAGTATTGGGAAACATTTGGATAGTTCATCAACTATGAAACTTCATGATTCTTTGAGCCAGTTAACTGAGAATGATATCCCAACGGAATATATACGTGAATTACCGGTTTTTAAAAGTCAGAGGAGTTTCGGATACAGGTAAGTGGGTAAAATACCGGTTAATAAATTATCATTACTAATATTATTACTATTACCATTCACAATATTACTTTAGTTCGTCGGTGGTTTAGCTGTAAGACACTCGCAAAACACGCATGTGGTCTGAGGTTTTGATTCCCAACCGACAAACTCCTAAACTTTTTGAAGCCGTTAGTAAGGTCGGTTAACATGAAAGGTTGGGCACGAGGCTAGCAACTTCACCATTGCCATTGTAACCTCAAAGCACTAGCTTCAGGCCCTATATCCCACTGGAAACGTAAAGGAATAAAATTTCAAAATACAGTATTACCTTATTATATAATATTTTGGTTAAGCACAAAAGCGAAATAATTTGGAAGGTTATGTAGGGCTTTCCTGATAGGCCAATGCAGAGAGTTTGAAGCGAACTTTGTTGTAACCGAGGAAAAGAAAGTTTTAATAGTCTGAGTAGTTATCAGGTCAAACGATGACTGATAACTGCTTCTTTCGGAGCATACAAATCGGGTTTTTAAGGTCAGTTGGTGTTTGCTCATGAATACTTAAGAAGAATTGAATTACAGGTTTGATCATGAGTTGATACCAGTTAGGGAATTATTTGAAAACCAGGGAGTACTGGGAAGCTATCTCGTCCTAATTTGGGAATCCTCATCAGAACGCACCCGGTGGGGTTCAGACCCAGCACCTTCCGGTTACATGGCGAGCTCGTAAACCATCCAACCACTGGGACCGGAATCCACGGTCCAAGTCTGCCAATTCGTAACATACATATATTTAGCGCAACCTCCAGCAAATGTCATAGGTGACTAACTGTTCTTCCAGTTCGACTTCTCGCTTCAAAATATTTACTTCACGTCCCATATCACCTAAATACTTAGTCACAAAGCCGTTTATTATTACTGCTATTCTTATTTGTTCTTTGTATTCCAAGTGGAACACAAGGGTTCCAGAGTCACGTCTCTTTAGCCATTGGTTCTCTCCTATCACTTTCACGACTGGTCGTAAGCTTTAATTGCATACTCGTATGGTCTTCATCATGTCAACTGCAGACGTTCAACACGTCACTCTCTTCCTATTGACGTCCAATTTTGAAGACCTGGGGTGGGGTGTTACTTTTAGGTCTCCTTAGCGTAGGTCCAATCTATCTCCACTTTCTTATGCATATTTGTTGGCCGACAGGTTCTTGGTTGGTTAACTGTTGCATTCCCTTTTGCTTGAAAGATACACCTATTGATAAACGTATTGAGGTCGATCACACACGGTGTTTTTGTAGTTGTGTTCATATGGAAACTTTACCGTTGGCAGCATACCTCTGCAAAGTGAATCAGGATGTGAAATTTTCGTGGACAGCCTTTTTAATCTCCGTTAAGGCAGCACAGCTAGTTTGTTAAATCCATATTCACTCTTCGACCTTCAGTATAGTGTACACCTTTTTCACTATGATAGCAATAGCTTTCAGTCAGTCATAATAATTTTTTGTTAGGATGTTGTGAGTTTTGAATCGAAATAGAATTTTAATATTATTATACCCTCTTCTGATTTGACCTGCGGTAATATACTTCCATACTCTGGTATTTGCATTGAGTCATTTTTGTTGCATGTGTTGGGTGTGGACTCGATAAATAAGGATTCCGTAATCAACCCTCTCTCCACTTAGCTATATTATTTTAGAATTTTAACCTATCCCACCTTTGTGTGGTTGTTTGTTATTGCTAGCCGCTATCTGACCGACTTTTTTCAAGGATGGTAGGAACATTCACACGAAGCATTTTAACTCATTCAGTTTGACGACCACCAGTTGTCGGTTAGAACATGTTTTGAGTAGGTTTGTAACAACAGAAGACAACGGCCAGGCAACAGATCGTTTATTTAGGAAATCAACATATATTTCTATATTTTCATGTACATTATTATAGACTATTGTCAGCAAACAAACACAGTCTTCTGATTGGTGGTTTCTCGTTGAACATTATTCTTTCATCTCTTTGTAGTCGTTTCTTGAAATTCAGATTATCTATTTGCAACTTGATATGATTATGAGCAATAGTTTGTGCCCGAAACGTCATCAGTTAATATAACTGTACAACACTGTGTAATTTATCAAAATAAAATCTTATCCATAATGGAGTTATACTCTACCACAGTGCCCAAGTTTTATACTTACAGCAAATTGTATCCGCCTACGCAAAGTCTGCTGTGATTAGTTGTTAAATCAGTCTTTGTTCTTATTTTTCGCATGACCAAATTGGGGACGTACACATTGACGTAAATTACTATCTACCGATTTTGGCTAGCAGCCAGCCCTCACCACAGCTTATTGTGTTGAAGTTTCATTTGAGCTTTAAATCTAAGTTAAAAGGAGAAAAAAAGAAAACAGTTTTATCAGCCTTAACCCCAGGGGAATCGCTTATGCATATCTGTAAGTCAATTGAACAGTGAATGAGACGGAGAAAAAGGAATGATAACAATATAAAGCAGTTTGAATATATGTGTATATATAATGACAAAATATTGGTCCCCTTAGTATGATTTTTTCATCCCTTCGCGTTCTACTTTAGACTTATAGCTCTAGACTTGATCTTCCAATTTTCAGTAGCTATTGTGTTTATTTTTACGTTGAAGAGGGGGGGGTGTAGCTGCCAGCGTCACACCGAACTTTCCGTCTTTTTTAATTGGCTTACTGCTGTCTAGTCAAGTTTTCATCATACTATATAGTATTCCTCTCTTATTTCAATAATAATAATAACAACAACCTTATTCCAAACAGTCTTTTTTAGTACGAATATGAAATTTTCAGCATGTAGTACAGCACTGCATCTAACTTCCTCATTACAGGGATAATAATTAAAACCGGTCACTTACATTGATAGCATTGCTCAATAAGATAATGAATATAAAACTAAGTGAAAATATTAACCAAATAGTAGTGAAAAAGAAATAGGACCGTTTACTAAGAGTTCCCACAGTATATAATCGGTGGATGGTAACTAGCAGTGGAATCCAGGATGCGCATTTCGTCCTATTGGGGACTCGTCAGTTGGATGTACCTGCATTCCCTACTGAGGCTTGAACCCAGTGCTTATATTTTTAAACGCCAAAGCGTTATCCATTGGACCCGCCAGACTGAGACATCGTCGAAGCATCTGCACAAGAAGCCTACACGTCAACCTGAGACCGAGCACTTCAGTCCAATCAATCGACGGGAAAATCTCAAATTCAACTAAATTAATATGACCTGTTACACGAGAGGTGGCTCTCGTGGCCAGATTGATCTAGTGGATAACGCTTTGGTGTTTGAAACTATGAGCACTGGGTTCGAGCCTCGGTGGGAACATCATCAGTCACTGGGGAATGCAGGTACATCCAAAGATCTGTTGAGTCCCATATAGGATGAAATTGCCATCCTTGATTCCACTGCTAGTTACCAATTAACTTCTAATTACGTGCCCAGACATCGTCGAAGCATCTGCACAAGAAGCCGACATGTCAACCTAAGACCGAGCCATTCGGTCCAATCAATCGACGGGAAAATCTAAAATTCAATTAAAGTTCTCACAGTAAGATAGTTGGTAATTTCGCGCCTTATACTTTTCTTATCCTGACCAAGGTGTTGTAGAAGTTTTTTGCTGAGTCTGTCTGTCTGTTTTTCACATAAAACTTTGCACCGATGTGCGGCAGTTCAAGTCGGCACACTCCATGTAGCACACAAAGCAAGTTGTCCGAGCATATAGTCTTCTATAGTTGCTTCTAGTTCCCCTACCTGATGAAATGCAGTATGGAGAGAGTTGTGTATGCAGAGTGTGGAGAGAGCCTGACAAGGTAGTATCTGTTAATTTCTTGTAAGAATCCATGTGTCTATATACAGTAGTATTAACGAGTTGGTTTAGCAACATGCCACTTACCCTACTAACGGCTTTCAGGGCTTCTCACAGAAAAACAAAGTCTTTCTTCAGTTGTCTGGGGGAAGATTAAGGTGGAGCAACAAAGAAGGATAGGTAGAATGCAAGAGTTAAAAAAAAACTGAGGAAGTAGAGGCTTAGTGATACCAGATCGTCTTCACTTGTTTACGTAGCATGTTAGACGAAATATCTTTCAAGAAAGTAACATGATATGGAAAAGACCAGGAAAGGTGATTAGACGAAATACACAATCCAAAATATTTAACATTAGATTTAGTTTCAACCCATGTGTCACTCATGATAGTGGAAACGTGAGAACTAAACAGTTCATGCAATTGGCGCTTGCATATGAAAGTGAAATTAAAAGTGTGTCGTCTGACGGGATTTAGCTTAAAACTATTTGAAAAGGACTACTGACTGACTAACATCTGATCAGAAGTTATTCATTTCGAAACAATCTGAGTGAGAAATAACCGCTGGCATAGAAATAATTAAAATCATTGCCATAGTTAAATTTCTCCTTCTTTGTTTTCATTCATTCTTTTCATGTTTGTATGTGCTTTTTTTATTTTTAAATTTGCTTCAGATATCACCAATCGCATTTAATTCTAACTGACTTAACAATGGATCCAATTTCAATGTATGAAAGTGCTGATACATCCTATGCCGTATCGGCTTCTTCATTTAATACATGCACACCGCCGGCTATTTATCGTCCTGATATAAGGTTTCACTTTAATGACTCCAGTACAGAAGAACAAGATGAACAACCGGATCATCCTCCTCCTCCTGCTCCTTCTCGTCATTCTCAGGTGGTAGAACAAGAAAAGTCGCAGTTAAATTCACCTAAACAACATATGTGTCGACTTAATCTGTTACCGACAACTCCACCTCCTCCGTGTCCGCTATCACCATCTTCAGTGTCAACTCCATCTATTAACTCGACAATATCAACAACAACATCGGCATTCCAAAGGAAAAAAGTTCCTTGGACGTATATTTTTGAGGATGTTTTCGATGCTGAATGGCAAAAAAGTAAACTATGGGGAAATTTACAATTCTGGGAGGATTCATTCCTTGATGCTGTTGCCCAGGAGAGAGATATTTTAGGTTAGTTTTAATTATTTGAAAAATAAATTTTGTTCCTTGTGACCTGATTATCATGAATTAGTGATGGAGAGAGAGTGTGCTATAATTTATTTGACCTAGATTGGATGGTTAATTATCCCTAAAATTTTCCCTCTATTTATAATGTAAATTATTTTCCCTTTAGTAGATAATATGTTTTGAACAAATAAACTGATACTTCGTTTTAAAATCTTTCATCATCAACTGTGCTTGCTCATCATAATCATTTGTAGTTCATCAGAATTATTCCATTTTGATAACTCCGTCCTTTATCTAAGCGAAAATAAGTATGTTGCGAAGCCTGATAATTTAGTGAGAATGAATCTGTGTGATTGACAACGATTTTGAACCATAGCATTAGATGTCTGAAGCCATTGGTTCTTCACAACCTAATTGACTGACTGATTTCAGCATAAAACTTTGCACAGATGTGCAGCAGTTCAAGTTGCCACTCGCCCTTCAGGTAGTACACAAAGCAAGAGAAGAAAGTAGAAGAAATGCAAAAAGCAGACAGTAAACAGAGATATGAGGTAAAAAGAATAGTATTATCGAAGAACAATATAGTTTTACTGGGTATTAATAGTCACGAGGATTGGATGCATCTGCGACAGCCATCGACAACGATCACTTTGAACCACATCACCAATTGTCTTTATCTTTCACTGGTTTTTACCATTCCGATTGCCCCAACCAGGAAGCCAGTGTACGCCCCCGAAAGTGGCTAGCTGGCTGGCTTAAACTAATTGTTGTGCATTTCATTGACTAATGAAACCATATTTTGGTTTGTCCATCACTGGCTTTTTTCCAACCTAACCCTATGCCAGCTAACATTGCTCATTGAGGAAGGCTATTGATGGCTTTTGGTGCATGTGTAACACATGTCCTAACCATCTCAATCAATGTAACTTTACAGCTTTGTCTATTGATTTCCCCTCGTTACCTAACACTCGATTGAAACCCACTCTCAATATTGCTCACTCACTCTATTATACCACTTCACACGCGAGATAAAACACAGGTTCTTCATAACCTCAACTGGAGATTCTATCCCTCTATGTGTGGTTGGTTCAAATTAACTGTCAAAGTCTTTATGCATTGGTACCAGGTTTTGAAATGACTATACCTGACTTTTCCAACTTAGTCCGATGTCATTGATGCAGTACTAGACATTGAGCATAGGATATGTCCTAGTTGTCATAATCGACATAATTTCACATCCTTATCAACTAACTTTCCCCCCACCCTAACATCAATATTGTTCACTGTATTACACCATTCCTAACGTGGTAGATAAAATGCAATATTGATTGGTTAAAGACAGCTAGCCTCTTCATTGGACATATCTTACACCAGCACAGAAGGATAGTGTGAACTACTGTTCTGTACGCACGTACGTACGTATGTCAGTAACAACATATCACGTGTACCCTAGAGATAACCTAAGTTAGAAAATGCCGCACAACCCCTTTGTATCCTTATGGAGATTTTGTCAGCAGCCAGTCCATCGGGACTACTTCAATTATTCAAGTAGGTGGAGTAGTCAAGACGCTCACCTACTTCACTCCCTATCTTTAAATTAACAATCTGTATATATATATATATATATATATATATATATATATCAGTTTTACGGGATCACCTATTTATTTAAGATGAAACACACAATGATTTATGCTCAAATTGTTGTTCAGAAGACTTTGTATTTTGTCATTGTCTCCATGTAGAAAGCCAATATCATTACGTATTGTAAGTTGACGAGATTATTCCCCGATGGCAACAATTCGATCCTTAAGTTGCTAAAGTTGATTAGAGTGATATCTGTTAGTACAACACCTACGATGAAATTAAACAAAGTGGAGACTATAAATTTCCATAACAGACACTACTGGTTTTATCACTTAAGATCGATTAGTCTTTTGACACTTATTGGTTTCACTGTGAGGTTTGGTATATCCTCCGCTGTGTGGTGATTTATAGGACTAAAGGGATCACTTTGATCAGTTGAATTGTACTAATCAGTAACAGGCAAATTGAAAATTCTACTAATAAACTAATACACGTTGAACAAAATGTACGAGGAGGGGTATGGTTAAATGTGAGTACTGTAAAGTGATGGCCGTTGAGTTTGAATTTGAGTTCGATAATAGGTTCCTTTGACTCATAAACGTCAACTACAGGTGGCACGGATGAAGATGTCAAAACAAGGATCGGAAAGGTAAGACAGACCATCTCTCTAAGAACGACTTGGAAATCTTTTCCGCGGCATGAACAACAAAATTCAGATTTTCACAACCAATATTAAGTCAGTTCTCCTATACGATTCAAAGACTTGAGGCATCATGAAGAGTGTTTCGAACAGGCTACTTCAGACTATAATCAACAGCTGCCTCTGCTTCATATTGAAGATCAAATAGCTAGATGGAATTAACAAAAAGAAACTCTGGGAACGAACCGGTCAAGAATCTGTCTTTCGACATATATGCCGAAGAAAATGTAGATGAAGACCGTCAAATGATATTGCACGCCAAGCAGTCACTAGAACTGAACTGAAATAGGAAATGAAGAGTTGGGCGCGAATTCAAGGGTGACATGTGGAAGACGGTGTGAAGAGGAGATTAGAGCTTATGGGAATTACGGGACTGGATGAAGATGACTGTAGATAACAGAACGAAGTGGAGATGTGTCATTAAAGCCCTATATTCCACTCGGAACCCAAGGGAACAATAAAAATAAATAACAACGTATATCAAATGCAAGTAGATGTTTTTTTGTAGAACCTCACTGTGAACCGTTAACAAATACTTGTTGGCGTGTGTTGGTGTCAAATTACTTCGTATGAATTTACTACACTCAGTTACAATACCTAAACGACTTGGTACGGCCGAGCGTCTGTAGACTTCAGTCTTCCTCTTGAAACTCTCACTTGTCACCACGCGTTTATAGCTCCTCACAAATGTGAGAGAGTGAGTGTGAACATCTGGCGCTTACAACCACCAATCTGGTGGACATGTAGATCTATCTAAAGGAGCTTGAAAACCCTGAATATAAACCTGTATTGTAGATGGCCTGTGAATGGATCAAATAGTGTATGGACCTTTTTTGGTCACTATCAAAGTTGGGAACGTAGCTCTGCTGTCTTGGGGATCAGAATTCAAGTCCAAAGCCCTAAAAACCAACACTTGAATATCAATGAGATGCTCACTAGTGACTTGCCCCATTCAGGTAGGCAGTTACCTGGGGTTCTAGTGAGAAGTCGTGACCGGTAGGGTGCAGGAGGTCGGGTGTGAGAACAAATACTCGCCGAAGACATTGGCTAGGGGTCGCGCTATGTCGTGAATTGGCAGAAGTTAGAATTAATGGGCTGGCCATTGGATCGGGTCCCAGTGGCTTAATGGTATACGAGATCGCTAACCTTGTAACCAGAAGGTCCTGGGTTCGAACCTTGGGGGTGGTTGCGTACTGATGAAGAGTCCCAACCTAGGCTGAACGAGACAGCTGCCCAGTACTCCCTGGAAATTTTCAACTGGTTCTCTAACTAATGTCAGCTCATGATGAAGTCCTGTACCCAAGCAAATCCCTACAAACCATCACTTGAATATCAAGTCCAAAGGCTTGACGGAGGGGAGTTTGGGACCTTGCGATAACCACCTACTTCGGTCTGGACAGTATCTCAACCTTCTAACAAAGTATGCGATCTCGCTTGGCTCATCTTTTTGGGGTCCATAATGTCCCAAGGTTGTATTTTATGAAATATAAATAGTTTAATCAAATACAACACTTTACTTCCTTCATCATCTTCAGGTATGGATTTTCAACCGAAAGAACTATTGTCAAAATATCAAAGTTCATCTTTGCTTAAACGTAAACAAATGGAATTAGCTGAAGACTGTTTACTAGTCAATGTAATGCATAATATGATTGCATTTATGCTGATGGCTAATGTGGATCGTCTACTAATTAGAAAAAAACTTCAACGTCTACTGGCTAAAAGTCATACAGGCTTACATTATTCACGTAAAATTGGTGATCTGTTGAATTCCTTGAATTATCTTGTAAGTTCTGGGATATTTTCATGTTACACTGATGTTTTATTGTTATTATCATCATTATTGTTACTACCCGAAGTGATCATTTTTAACGTCATTCAACTGCCACTTGTAATTTTATGCAGTCGACAATAAGTCACATACCTGTTATATGTGAGGGGTGTAGTCTGCTCAAACCTTTGCAGTAGGTGAAGCGTCTTGCGAACCTGTGATCGCCTAGACACCCGAGAATCACAATGTTTCATTTCATTACTAACGAACGGCACTGAACTTTGTAATACATAGATAATGCCTATCTACGTAATAATGAAAAAAGAAAAGCCAAAACAAGTAATTAAACGAAGGAAGCCCTTTCCTGTGTTGACTGCACTTTCCTTAGCTCTACAATTTCATTTATACACAAGGATAAGCTACCGCTGTTGGCCTCATCTATGTGCATCTACCAATTCACCTGCTCGTGTGGAGGCCAGGTAAATCGGCCGTACTCAGCGTTCGCTATCCAAACGCGTCAACGAACATTTACCTTCATGGTTTAATAAAGGAGAAAACCGATGCCCCCGCAGCTCGATCCTTGAACATTTGATCGATTTTGGACACCAAGTTAAACCAGAAATAAACTTCAAAGTTATCTATAGAATACAAGGCAATTTTGCTAAGAGTGTACGGATCCTACTTCTCCACATTACAGAAGCAATGGTAATTCATCTGCTAAATCCTGAACTCTGCATACAAAAGAAATTCGTTCATTCAATAAATCTACAATGGACGTAATCTTTCTTAATTTCAGTCTTACTAATTGTATTATTTTGTCTTTTGCATTTTATTATTTCACATCTTCATTTATATTATTCTCTACCCCACCCTTTTGTAATCTCTACCCTCATTAACAATGTTGCTAACTTGTCCCACGTCCAATTTCTAGTCAACTATGTGACGTCATCCGATTAACTTACTTATCTTCAACTGTATTATTCTCTAACCCCACCCTTATTTAATTTTAACCACCACTCATTAACACTGTTGCCAACCTGACCTACTCTGAATTTTACTCAACTGTATTACGTCATCCAATTCACTTAATCAATTCTATTTTATTTTCTATCTTAACGTTTGTCTCCAAGCCAAATAATACTTACATTACATAATTATCTAAACTTTATAAATCTAATGTATCCTTTAGTTCCTAGAGGAACATAGGGCTTCAGCTGCGCACTTCCTTCGGTTTTCTGACAACTTTTCTTCTAATGTACACACACACAAACAAAATTGTATATATATGCGATTGTACAGCTCACTGAGTGAATTCGCCGAAAAGAGTCTCTTCGCTGAACGCCTTCTTTTCTTTTATAGGACTGAATGGGGATTTTCAAGTTACAACTAATTTTTCCATGCAATAAAAATATGAATTGTTATGATCATAATTCCTAATATTGATCAACAAATGAGAGAAATTAATTAAGGATAATTGTGTCGCGTGAAATGAGGTGATTATTTTAATTAGTGAGTTGTAATCGGGGTCATGTGTGTGCGTCGGTGGCACAGAGGTAGAATGCTAGCCAACCACACATGTGGTCCAGGGTTCGATCCCCGGTCAGCGACACACTCCTTTACCTCGCTAAGCCACTGATAAGACTGGTAAACATAGATGATTGGGCATGAGGCTAGCAACCCTATCCTGTAAAAATAAGCACCACTGCTACCGAAACTTCGAGCCTCTAGCTTGAAGCCAGTATATGTTCCATTGGGTACGTTAAACGAATCAATTGAAGTAAAGATGATGTTATGCAAGAGTTCGAGGGAAATCTAAGTTGTTAAGTAATTGCCTTTTGAGTACAGATCTGCAGTTGTGCAAAGGAAACGAAGGCGTAGTACTAATGGCGTGCTATTCTTCACTTTGTAGATTACTTTAAAGGAGGAGTTTATTGAGATAGTATCTGCCATTATTTACAGAATTACTACTATCTTTCTGCAATCATGCGGAATAGTAACCTTTCTAAACAGGATATGCCTAGATTGACCAATATACCTGCCTTCATAGGAACGGTTAAACTGATATATATATGCACATTGAAGTGGTCAAATACGAGGTCTTGCTTTTCAAGCTTCTGGAGACCAATAAATGAGACTGGAGAACACTAATGCTAGCGTTACTGTGGAGAATCTAATCCTCAAAGATGTCGAAATCCTTCCTTTACAGATACTGTAGGCTCGCTTTCTTGAAATCAAGGTTCGTGTAGAGTTTATCTTTTAGCGTTTTGGATGTTTTGTTCCTTTGAACTTTGAGTTTGAAATTCTATGGAGATTCATTTTGGATGAAGATTTTTTTCAGTCATTACTTAACTTTAAAACCCTTATTTTGTATATAAATACGGTTGTACATCTAAAGAGCCACTACTCTGAACTACTTGTTTTTTTTTTTTCAATACTGTCCCTCCGTCTTACTGTTTTAATCGCTTACAACTTGACAAATGGAACTATTTAACTCTTCCAGTACCTATTACATTTTTGGACTCCCAATTCGTTGTTTTTCGCATCCTTAGTAAATGAATAGAGAAATCAATGTGCACCGTGATGGCGAGCTACCTAGAATGGTGGCCATATTGCAAACCTGACTGATAGAATTCAGTCTGCACCAAAGAAAGGACTAGACACACATCACACTAGTTACTAGTGTTCAATGAGAATAGAACATATATATATTAAAAAGAGCCCTAGTGAGGGGAAATGTTTACAAAAAACAACAATAATTACATGGAAAAATATGAGGACTAGAACAGAAAAAAAAATAATATTTTCACCAAGCAAAGAGTTTTAATTAATAATTTCGTCTTGAGTTCACACATGTCATTCCTAAAGCATTTAATAAAATACTACTTTAAGTAGTCATGTGGATTCCAAAAATCATAGTGTCAAAGTGTTGAGATTTTTTGAAGCATAACTTGTCCTTCTTACACCTGCTGCTGCTCTCTCTCTTAACCTTTCTTTCTTTTTTTCTCTCTTAAAACCTTAGTTTTTGGGAACATTTATTGTCATTATTGTATATGTGTGTTGAATCAAGTGATTACGGATCGATAAACTATGGGTGTCACGGTTGTATATCTTCCTTTCCAATCTAGTTTTGCTGTTGTTTTTTGATTTAATCACGTTATACAGTAAAGTGTGAAGATTCTCTTGAGGCATGCATATATATATATATATATATATATATATATATATATATAACATCAAAAGACCGGATGATTTATGTTCCGGTCTCGAACTCAAAAACTCGAAGATATACAGGCAAAAACCACCAATTTCGTAGAACAGGAGTTTGAGTGATGAACATAGCGAAGATATAGGTGATAAAGACAACCAAATACCAAACATGGGTTACAGTTGCCAGCCTCACAGATGACTTCGCCTCTCTACCGGACTTACTAGCGGCCAAAGCAGGGGGTAAAAAAGTTCGTCGGCGGGAGATTGAACCCTGGTCGGCTTGCTTGGTTGGTCAGTGTTCTGCCAATGCACTGGACTACTTATGCACATTATAATGCTTCCAAAATCTTTCCTCTACCTTTATATTGTATGCGGCAACGTAAAATGTCGTACTTCTGTGCAAATATTTCATACTGAAGACTTAGACTCAGAGTCTTGGAGATCTCAGTGTGGTGGTCTCCAATCTCCATATATGGATGAGTTGAACTGTCACAGACTTTGTGGTTTGATTTTTATTTGACAACTCTTTATTCTTTTATAAATTAATCCATACACACGTCAACTAACACATTATACATTGATTGTTTTTGGGCATTAAATGATGAGTTTGAATTGTGATTCACTTTTTCTTTTCTTATTATTATTCTTATAGAACGGTAATGATATTGATTTAAATGTGGCACAAAGTCGTTTCATTGTCCAACGTTCACATGAAGCTTATCGTGGTTCAGATGACAGTGGCGAACTTATTTTTATTGAAGTTAGTTGCATCGTTCTCTTGAGTTTTTGGTGTGTGTGTGTCTGTGTATGTGTATGTGTAAAAGCTGCTTTAAACAGCTTTATCTGTTTTTTGCTTTTCGCCGTGTCCTTCGCAACGCGGAGCTCACCAGAGCCTTTTAAATTAGAAAAACCTGTCTACTACATCTGATGACCTGATGAACCCAGAAGCAGACCCTTGAAATATACTGTTATATCTTAAGAATTATTAAAAAGATGGTTTCAGCGAAGAAAATCTCTTCGAAAAGCCATCTGCTACACTATAAATTCGTGTATTTATAGTAAATGAGTGAGGAAATTGTAGAACTGTGTCCGGTTAAGGGTCATATCAATAAGATCGCTAATAGGGAATAAAATGCAGTAATAAACAGTAAGGTCAGATAAAAAACATATCAGGATCATAATTACTGAGAAAATTGACTTTTTGTGCAATCAGGGCTTAAAATCATAGTAATAACCAAATAGACAGGAGTATTAATTAAGTAAAGTAATAAAATAATCACTATTTAGAGAATTTACTTCTTATGATAGCTATGGTCGAGACAGTGGTTGGATATATCTATTTTAAATACATAGCGTGGGATTTTCATCATGAGGTGATAAATGGATAAGAGAACCATTGAAAAACCTAGAAGAACTGAAGAGCTGCCGCGTCCTGATTTGAGACTTCTCATAATCAAGCACCCACATCACGGGTTTGAACCCAGGACCTCCCACTTACAAGGTGATTTCATATATATTTGCAGTTGATTCGATAAACAAAGCTTCCACTGTCGCCAATCTCTCCCTCCACCCTGTGACATTAGATTATAAAGCTGTCATCCTATCCCATCCAGCCTACTGTATGGTTGTGTGTAATGTAGCATGTAATGAGTGCTATAACTGAACTATTCTTTTCTTATCTTATTCGGGTCAACTAATCTAGATTTTGCTGCTAGGTTTTTATGTTCGGCTAATCTGACTGCTAGTTTGATCTATGTATTTGACCTAGCGATCATTCAAGCAGGGTATTAGATAAACTAAATTGTTTTGTTCAGTTGTCTCCACTTGCAAGATCCTTTAACCGACAAAGTTTTTTTTACCATGGAGTCACTAATATCAAAGGTTATGGCAGATATATTCATGGATAGGTGGGAAAACATAGCGAGTGAAACGTTCACCCCCACCCCAAAAGTATGATGAAGGTATGTAAATGATACATTCACTGTACTTAGAACACAAGATATAGATAGATTTTTCGAACACATCAACTCGAAGGTAGAGGCAATTTAATTCACTTATGAATTGGAAAGTTAGGAAAGGCAACTTCCAATGTTAGATTGTAGTGTAAAAAGAAAAGAAGATAGGGGAGTTAAAGACACATTCAGACAGATATTTGGACTTCCGATCATTCCATCCTATGTCAGTGAACATAGGATTGGTGAAATGTTTAAGTGACAGAGCACAAAAACTATGTAGTACCAAGGAAAATCTAAGACAGGAAGTGAGACATATAAGAGAAACCTTTAAATGTAATAATTACCCTGATAAATTAATTAAAACGTATGGAGGGAAATGTAAAAATAGAAAATATTGTTCGAAGTAAGTTAACGGGAATACTTGTTTTCGTCATCTACCAGGCTATGAGTGGAGCAGAACTTCCACATGTGACCGATTGGTTTATTGTCGAATGTTTACACCAATAACCCAATACTGTCAAACTACCACTAATAATGTTTTCACACTTTCTTTATTTTTTTTCTCCTTTACGTCTAGGTATGTTCTGATTATCTTTTAATTCGTAACTTGTCTGGACGTATACTGGAACGATTATGGTACGATCAAATTATAAATATGACGTATCGATCTCATTCGCATATTTTATGTATTACACGACAAATTGAAGGTCATTCACAAATGGATTTATTTTATACACGAAAAGTAAGTGATAAGTAACTATGACTACTTAGTTACTCAAATTTTTCTTGGGGATTCAGTTGGCAGTCGAAGCTATACACCTCCATTGTATGGGGCTTTATTATAGGAGGTCAGGGTGCGATTTGGTGATCAGGTGGTTGAGAATCAAGCGTTTAACTTCCTCTTCAGAATACTTTATTATTATTGATTATAGTGTGGTTTACGGTGGCTATTGGCAGTGAAATCTAGGAAGCACATATCGCATCCTGTTTCGGACTCATCAGGTTGACTTTATCTGCATTCCCATTGATTGATTATGTTCCTACTGAGATTTGAACTAACCAAAAACCTTGATCACTCAAGCCACTGCGCTACACGACGCTTTATTGTTTGAAATGGTGTGCTCAGTGGAAATATCGAAGGAAAATGAAAATTAAGTCCAACTTAGTGGATTGTTGTTCATCTAATTATTTTGCAATATTTTGTAAAAGTGAATGAATCCCACTGTGCTTCTATTACTTGGATTTGAAAATTGGCGATGATACTTACGTTTATACACCAATCAATTAAATCTTCATCTGCATAGATTTAGATCATTTTTCAAACCTGTGAAGCAATAAGCAACAAGTTAATCACCTAAATTATTTGTTTATAGCCCCATTTTAAAATTGCTTGTAAACGATCGTTTAAAAATTTCGTGTCCAAATGAAAATGTGATGCGACTGAATGAACTAATAGAGGAGGAAGCGGGTGGGGAGTTATGAAGATACTAAACTCAGTGGGAACCTTAACCAAATGTCATATGCGAATATATTCTTTCTTAATACCTTCTGCCTCAATAAGATACAAAGACTGTCTTGGGACGATAAGCACGTCACGTATATGTACCTGATGTACATGAGTGAAGTAAACCAATCTAATCGGTTGCATGTGGTCAAATATTGTTCATACATCACTACATAAATGTAGATATCGGACAAAAGTCTTCGACTTCTGCAACCAATGGCTAAAATGATGGTAATTTTGTCTGTTTCCTATCGGAAGGTCTTTGATTACTCACTGTAAAGAGAGATTTGTCACCAGTGTTACTAATATTATTCGCTCCTTCTATTCCTAGTAGAACCTCAGCAGTATACCCACATTTCACTCTGTTCCTTGCCATCATTTTCATTTGACTCTACGATTGCTCTCAGGCTTTCATTTTTCTTCAAATCATATTGTCCTTGTGTCACCTTCGAACCCACGCCCAAGTCGTCAGTCGCTCTCCATTCAGTTTCCACTTGAGGGAATGTCACTTGAATGTCTTCAGCCTCATTGTAGGCAAAAGGTTGTTGGCTTGTTTTAGCTGCCTGACACAGTTCACTGTGGTTTAATCCTTTCAGACAGGTAATATAGTCTTCAGTTTTAATTGAAGACAAATATTGATGAAAGTCTCCAGTGGTCTGTTAGAAATGCTCATGGTGACACACTCGCCACTTGTCTGAAGCATATAGAACCACTGTATTGATATTAGTTTCGCGAAATCCGAATCTTATTCTCTGTATCAAATTTAATGGATCTCCATATCAATTTCAAACTAATAATAAAGGCATATCTTGCTTTCGTAATGTCAACTTGACATCCTCATCTATGCCACCACCTGTCTGCCTGTAATTGAAACAATTGTGCTTAGGTTATATATAGTAAGTCAAAATGATGACGATTGCCAGTTGGCTATCTTCATCACCGTCAGTCTTCATCAGTCTTTTATGTCACTCCTGTCAACATATCAAATTTTCGCCCTTAGATCATTGTGTTTTTTACCGATGTGCTAGACTGAATGTTCTTGCCTTGCCTTTCTGTTTCACTAGTCATGTGTATCAAGCTGCTGTCGTTTAACTTTGGATTGATTTCATGTGTGTTCTCTATCTCTATTTATTTGTCCTATATATTTTGTTTTCTCTTATTCTTTTAGTCTCGTTTAGTATATCAACAAATCAAAGAAGCTATGAAGCATATTTCAGTGGAAGCTTCTCATGGAATTTTAGGTAGGTTTGACTATTTTGTTTTACTTTTGTTTATTTGTTTGTTTGTTCATAGTTGGTGCAACTTTATTTTCTGAAAAAAAAAAAAAAAAATAACGTGAGTTGGAAAGAATTTGTAGGTATAGAAAACTGAAGTATACACCGGCAAAGCGACGTACAGTTATGCCAAAATACAGAAGCCTTAGATTTTAGTTATTCGTACTGTGTTTCTTTTGTCTTCCTCCCGTTATTATTATTATTATTGTTCCCTTGCTTTCCAAGTGGAACATGGGGCTTCAATAGACCATCTCCTTTTTTGTCCTATTCTCTGAGGTGTTCTTAAGATGGCTTTTAGGGTTGCCCAAAGTCTTTGATCTCCTCTATGTCACTCTCGGACCAACATCATCCCATTCATTGCTTTCCATTTGGGTCCCACTTGACCAGCGGTCTGCATTGCGTGCGATGTAATTTGATGATCTCCTAAGCGTGTAACCAATCCATCTCCATTTCATCCCACATATTTGTTAAGCAATCGGTTTTTGGTTGGTTTATTTATCACCGCAGTTTCTTATTTATAATTCTTTTTGGCTGGCAATGTGATCATCAGTGTGGAGCTAGTCCCTTGAAGGCGACAGTTGTTGATGTATGTCTCGTAACTTGTTGGTAATCCTTTTTTCTGATGGGCATTACAACTTTCTGACTCTTACAGAAGAACTGACTGTCCCAACATTTGTGTTTAAAATCTGAATTTTGTTCTTTATGCGCTAAGTGAAGCAGATTTCCAAACTGGGATATCAGAGTGGATGAATGTCTATCCTGCCTTTCCGATTCTGATATTACTACCTTCATCTGTGCTCTCGCATGTAGTTGAAACGACGCTCCCTGTATAAGTGAATGATGTTACTTGTGTGAGTGACTTGATATGATTATGAGCAATAATTTTTGCTCAAAACATTAAAAACAAACTGTGCGTCGTTGGTACAGTGGTTAGGACTCTTGCCGACCATGCAAATGGTCCGAGGTTCGATTCCCTGTCGACGCACACCTGATATCTATGGTCGGCGTGCAAAATTTGGGCTACCTATATCTCATATGCTGAAAATCCCATACTTGTACCAAAACTACAGTGTGGAATCAATCTGTAATCAAAAATAAAAAAATAAAAAATTGTACAACATTGTGTGATTCATCAAAATAAAATCTTATCCATAATGGAGTTACACTCTACCGCAGTACCCAAGTTGTATACTTATATCTTTCAAATTTCTTCTATCGATAATGCTTGGTTATCTTCACCACTTTCGTCTTCTGTTTCTTTCCCCTGGATTCATGTCTTTGCTGCTAGCGTTTTCTGCCAGTTTGTTGGTTTCCACCTATAAGCCTTCGAGTTTGCGTGATTTTGAACAGAAGTCATCCACACTCGAAATCCAGATCATATCCTGATTTCTAAATATACTGATTCTCAAGAATCTTAGATTTCACCTCTTTCCCATTTAATTCGTGACTTGGCTATGTAATACTGTTTATACAAGACATCGCACACAATGTATACTACTTAAACATTTTTTTCAGTAGTACTCGTCACATAAATATATACAGTCACAAATATTCCGTATTTATCACATTATTAATCTCAAATCAGTCCAATAGATAAAGCTGTCTATTTTCTATTTAGTTATTGGATTGATTAGGATTTCTCTATACTGTATACTGTTTTCCTCACTCGTCATTATACTTCATATTGTCTAACGATTATGAAATGATTTCATACCATGTTTTATGCTATTTTCATGCCCTCATCATAATTGACTACTTTCGTGTTACATATATATATATATATATATATATATATATATATATATATATATGCGTGTACCTAAAACTATTCAGGCTTCACATGTATTAGTAGTGAATTATTCCATCATCAGTCTATTCCGGAAACAACAAACATTTCCCCTTCTCCCCCACTATTCCTCTTTCTGATTGGATTATTATGATCATTAGTATGTATTATGAGCTATTAACTGTAATCGGATGATCAATTCCCCTACACTACTGTCCTTCTGGCATGTGTAGTGAACTTATTTTTCAGTTTGCGTAAACGGAAATTCAAATTCTACGTGGAACATCCTATATATATATATATATAGTGATTATTGAACTGAGAAAAGTAGAAACAATTAAGCCAGTGGATAAATTCAATTTAGTCTCTTTCTCTCTCTCTTTCTGTGTGTGTATGTTTGTGTCTTTCACTAATAATCTATATTATTATTATTATTTTAAGAGTTATTCATCTATCATTCCACAGAGATGGATATCTAAGCAGCTATTTAGATTATAAGGCTTTTGTTTGGACCGTGAGTTGAACTAATTTCAGTGTCTATCTTGTCACCAGCCAAACGACAGTAAGAGAGAATCATTAGGGAGTGAAAAAGCATTAGATAGCTAGTTGTTTCGTCCTAGTTTGAGACTCTTCAACCTCTGTTCACCTATAACTTCACAAGGGATCGAATCCAAAAAAATTGCAAGTTACTAGGACCATTTGTTAGTGCCAGTAACAAACCATTGGTTCTTAACGTCTTGGGGACTTCAGTCACGTATATAATATTATCTACTTTTCTGAGTGCAACAGTCGAAGAGAGTTTATGCATTTATTCCTTGTTTCAGTTTTACCTTTCCCCCCCCCCCTTATTGCATCGGTGGCACAGTGGTTAGACCTCTCGCCGACCATGCATATTGTCAAAGGTTCGATCCCCTGTCGACGCACACCTGATATCTATGATCGGCGTGCAAAATTTGGGCTACCTATATCTCATATGCTGAAAATTCCATACTTGTACCAAAAATACAGTGTGGAATCAATCTGTAATCAAAAACATAGAAAAAAAATATTGTTTTCCGATTTCATCCAATATTATAACATCTCAATCGCATATATATATATATATATATATATATATATGTTTGTAGAACCTGATGAAGAACTTGTCGGAAATAAATATCCTTACTGTTCAATACTAACCTCAATCTGTTTAATTTTTAATGATGATTTTTTATTGTTGGTAGACTGATTCTAGACCACAAAATCATGGAACTCTTTTCGCTTTACAAAAAGAAATAGATGATAATTTTGCCTAAATTGTTATAAATATTGCTGTCGTTAAAACTAAGGTATGCTATAAAGACTGCATTTTCTGGATGTCTTGCTAAGTAGGTGAGAAGATGAGTCACTTGTAGACATACACGTATAGAAAAAGCACATTTACAGGGCAATGCACGTATACACACTACCTTAGTTGCGTGCTCATTCCATATCAAAAGAAATGTTGTTAAGTTTTTTACGAACTGAGCAAGAAATGTATGTATGGATGATCACTTGTAAAAGTAATCTGAATATTGTTATGATTCCTTGACGGAGATGAGCTGGCTATCTGAGTAGTTTCCTAAAAAAGAAATATACAAAAACACTGGAATGAAAACCTGAGACTGTGACACTGTACGGGGAAAACTCTCTATTTGTCAAGTTACAATTTGATAGTGACTTGTGAAGTGATAGTTTGCTCCAGAGACTAGTTAGAAGTATACGAAGAACATTTTACACAGCAAACTTATGTTGTTCTTTCCATAGTCGACGGGACTCAAACGAAGAATAAGCTAGATGGTTTTGACCTATTTGTGTGTATTCATCAATTCAACTACACATGCGATGACGATTATATTGAGTGTGTTGCTAGACAACTTCGCCAACGTGTTATTACTGAACATCTCCTATCGCGGTTAGGCAAAGGACGGACAAAAACCATGCTTAGTTCCATCTTGTCGCATTTATTTGATAGTGCTCAACATGATACTTTGCATTCTACCGAATCTTTTCAGTAGACATCGTATTCGTCTACTACATATATGGCTGGGGCGATAGACATTTGAAGTAATAAGCCTTAACTATGCATTCAAAAGAAGTTCGTACAGCCATCTTCCTCCTTTTTGGCTTATTAAGACCTAACCAACTGATAATGTCATCACCACCATCGCTTACTTATATTTTTGAACCCCACTCTTATCATCCCTGAATCTTATCACATCTTCATTAGGAAATCATTTGCTTACTTCACTTACAGTCTAGCTTTACTTAACCTTTATTGACTAATTGCACAATTTATATGCACAGTCTTTTTATCCTGTTGACAAAACACCGTGATTGGTTTATATTTTCATTTCTAAGAGTTTGTTTATGGGAGTTTGATTTGTTTCAAGTTTGATTGCGGACTGATATCAGTTAGAGAACCATTGAAAACTATCAGGGAGTACTGGACAGCTGTTTCCATTGTCCTAGATTGGGACCTGTTGGCAGCACTTACCCATTGTGTTTTTGGAATTCAGAACCTTCCGTTTACAAGTTGAGATAGTAAATCATTCAACCACTAGGCCCCTACTCACTGGTCAGCCCATGAATCCTAATTTCTACCAATCAATCTCCTTCAAACAACCTCCTGCAAATTAATCTGATGCTAGCTAATGACTAGCTACAGGACAAAGTTGTCTTGAGTTCAAGTGAGATGTCGTAACCAAAGACGTCCTCTCGGCCGTGAGTGAGGACAAATACTCACCAGAGATGATACTGGCTGGTGTCAGTTGCGCTTATATCTTAAGTAAAGTGATGCATAGTGAGTGGAGTTAAGCCTGATGAAATTTAATTGGATACAATATTATCTGCTTACATGTGTTGTTCTATATTTAATGTTCTGAAATTCACATATACCTTTAAACTTATTTACTTACTTGACACTTAATTGCGTACTGATGAAGAGTCCCACTCTGGGAGGAAACAGCTGTCCAGTACTCCCTACATGTTTTCCAATGGTTCTCTAACATGTCAGCTCATGATGAAATCCTGCAGTCAATCAATCAAAATCCCTAGAAACCAATAGTTGACTATGATTGTTCTGTTTGATAAAATACAAAAAAGGAAATATTAACACTTTTCTAGAAGGATAGAGATGCGGAGGATGAGATATAGGTAATGA